ACAACGATCAATAAGGAGGCAGCTGCCACGCCCCACTTTACGTATATGAATATGAGTCTGCCAACAATTTGCCCCTGCCAATAATTCAATTAGGTAGCCAAAAGGGGGAATAAAGGAGTTTCGGGCAGGGAAGCATTAATTTCACAATTGGCGCACATTAATCAATGGGGCCGCGATCTTCGGGGTGGAGCCAAGTGCCACAACAAGTACCTAGTACTAAGGATAGCTCCTTAGCTAAGTTGCTCCTCCGGGTGGCTGCAATTAAAAGTAGATTAATAATTCGCCCCCCTCTTTTCGAGGCTCTCGAGTGGCCGCAGCTACTCAGGTGTAGACAACGTTGTCGATGTCGTTGTCATCCTCACTTTCCTAGCCTTTAAAAAGGGGCTAAGGGGATATAAAGCGACTCAAATTACCCACTGGTAATGTGAGGGGACTATGAGTCTGCGGGACTAGCCCACTTTAATTGCACATTTCATACTTGTTAATTTTTCAATTTTCCTGCCCACCGACTGCGACGTTGAGCGGTTGACCACTTGCCAAATGTCGAATGCTGGATACTGGATGTTGAATGTTGGATGCCGAATACGAATGTTGAATGTCCGGTGCCGAATGCTGGATGCTGAACGTTTGTTTGTCATCTAGCCGGGGAGACTCAAGACTCTAGACTTGAGACCCGATGGACCCCTTGGACCACACAGACGGCGCTCCAACTGGGCTAAAGTGCACCTAGAAAAAAAGTCACTTACATAAAGTTCACATAAGATAAAGTATCTTAACATTATATATTAAATGATATAGATATTTTATTTTATTTTATTCTAAAATAATTTACAAATTAAATCATTTGTGTAGTATGTAAGTGTAGACATAAGACGGATATCTCAGACAAATCAAAAGATGGATAAAAGATCTTAACATTATAAATGAAATAGTATAGATATTTTATTTTATTCTAAAATAATTTACTAATTAAATAAAAGATGTGGGTAGTATGTAAATGCGGGTCTGTGTGTATTTTTAAAATAGAAATATTTTGTGTTAATTTACAATTAATATATTAGTAGGCATATTCTTTCAGTGCATCTGCTCCCGTGGCGGCTGCTGCTCCCAATCGATACAGGTGGACATGCGACTGACCCACCTCGATGCTCAGCGGGCGGTGCAGCTGCTGCAACTGTGGGGGCGCCAGTCCTAGCCCCACCCACTTCGCCCCTCTCCCTCCCCCCTCCCCCTGAGGAACGCTTTTCACTGCATTTGGAGCAAATTAATTGCCAGCGATTAAATTTCAAATTTTCCATGCAAGCCCAAAGCCCGAAAACCCATTCGCTTCCGTGCGGCGACTTTTGCGTGAGCCAAACTGCAAACAGCAAAACTCCAAACTCAAGACTCAAGACTCTAAACTCTAAGCTTCCCGCCTCCCTTTTCCATCGAAGTTATAAAGTGAAAATCATTAGTTTTCATTTGTGGCGTTTAGGGCGTGTGCCGTGGATCGGGATCGTGCAGCTATTTTGCATTGCAAATTAACAAAAATAAAGCAAGCACACACACACACTAAAAGTGCAATTTTCACTTGCGCGACCATAACATTTTCCTCATCGCATCGTTTTGGCAGTTGCATGTCAACTTTTGGCCATATCCTGTGGAGTCTTGGAGTATGGAAGCATGGATCGAGGGAAAATAGAGGCGGTAATTAAAGCCAGTCGAGAGTTACCCCTGACAGATATTCCAATGTGGGCGTTGTGGATATGAGCGGTTCGACTGCCCGAGAAAAAAAGCAATAGAAAGGTAGCAATGGGGCTGGGAAAATCACAACTAATAGCACTCACATAAAAAATAGTTTATGGCTTAGTTTATTTATGTATTTATAAGTACTTCCATTGAATATAGAAGTTTAAGTAATATGCAAAATTACTGTAGGTTGAAATTACCCTATTTCATATAACATTTCTTCTCTGTGTAAAAAATAGGTTTATAAAATAAATAATATACGAAAGCAAAAACTTTATTTTGATTTATTTATTTTTGGAAAATTGCTTATTAAAATAATTTCGAAATTTAAATAAATCAAGCTTAAGTTTAATCAGAAAGCTTTCCCCTTTAAAAAACCTAAATACCAAATAAACTTTATACCACAAAAAGAAATCTTATATTTAGATCACATAACCCCCTATTCAAAAACTAAATTATAGCCCGAATATTTCATTTTTGTGGCCCTTACAATTACCCTGCTAATTGCCGGCTGCGTTTCTTCACGGATCGTCCTTGAGATTCGATTCGATTCGGTTCGATTCGGTTTGGTCCACCCCCTTTTGGATAAACGACTTCCATTCTATTCCTGAGAAATTGAGTGGCCCAACATCGTGTTTCGGATTAGTCGCGTCAATAGTGCCATAAACATAAATCTGCAAGTTAATGGGCAGGAAGGTGGACCTAGACAACCTGGCTACCAGTTTGGTATCCCCTGCTCAAGTTTTGCAGTCGAAGCCCGGCAATTACGCAGCAAATTAAAATCAAATAACTTAGCATGAAAATCGAGCAAGCCATAAAAATCACATGCAAATTATAGAGTATCCAATAACCAGGCCGGCACAAGTGGCAGTAGCTCCGAAGCTTCGCAGCTCCTTCTTGGCCGCCTGAGAAATTGTTGTAATTTGCGCCACGGAGAGACCTGTCCCAGCATCGCTTTTAGCCAGCGGCGCTCCAATAAAGCCTTAAACAAATGAAGTTATTTGAGCCAATAAAAAATGGCAGCCACAAAATGATGGGGAGCCATCGCATCCTTAGCAGTTGTATGTCAAGCGGAAAGGGAAAGTTTGTTGGGACGGTTGGGTTGGTGGATCTTTCAGGTGCGGTTTGATATTTTTCATGATAGAATAGTAATTTTTAATGTTATTTGCATCCACAAAAATATTAGCTACACTAAAACATATAAAATAAAGTGGGTAGTTTGTAAAACAGATAAAATAAAGTGGGTAGTTTGTAAATGCGGGTCTGCGTCACTTTTAAAGTTAATATTAAAATACTACAAATTTTTTAGCTTTTAAATTTTAAAATAAAATCTAGATTCTTTGCAAATACCATAACTAAAATTTATATACTCGAGAAAATAACTAGGTTATTTTTTGTAAGTAAAAAATCCGCACCTGTTGGCAATTGAGGATTGGGGGCCTTAGCAACTCCTTTAACAAGTGCCATAAATATTGAAGAAGAACCGGCCACTTGTTCCCAGATCTCCAATGTTCTGCGGATCCTTAAGGGTTCGGGAGATCGAGTTCAAAATCTGGTTTATTTTGGTCCGGCCCTTTCTTAATGCACACCTTTCGAGTGCTGCAACTCAGGGGCAATTTGTTATTTGCCAAATAATTATATGGCATCTTCTCGTTGGCCGTTTGGCTTATTTAGAGCTTTATTTATTAAAGCATTTAATGTAAAATTGTTTGCCCAGGCCAGGGGCCATCATTAAACAAAGTAAATTGTGTGTATAAATCAATATCGGGCTGCGGCTAATTAATATCAATGTTGATTTTGTTGACTCCGAAAAAATACAAAAAAAAACCCCTGCAACACCCACGAAGCTATGCCCCTTGTGAAATTGCTTTTCCAGCGATTTTAAAACTTGCATATTTTATGCCCATAAAGTGGATCATAAAGTAATTAATGCACTAAAATGCGACATCAAAATGCTTCGGGCAGAGTCAGCCGAAAGAAATTTCTTTCAGCATTTCGTTGCAGCTTCGTGGGTTGGCTGCACCACCAGCAGTGCACTGGAAAAATATCTTATTAAAAGATAAAAAATAATTAAAAGACTTTGCTTACAGTTTTTAAACATTTTAATATTTGGTATATCAAATGATTTTAACATACAACTTTAAATATTTCAGGAAACATAAGGGTTTAATAAATTTAACATTCTCAGTTAAGTAATACTTAAGTAACAGTTTCCAGAATTGTTAGCATCAAATTAGTAATCTTCTTAATTAATAGAAATATTATTTAGTATTTAACAATATTATTCTCAGTGCTTAAGCCACAGAAACAACAAAGCGTCTGCAATCAATCTTGAGGCGGCGTTTTGCTGGGCGTGTTCTCTTTGCTCTGAGGTTGCACCTACGCTGCTTGCTGCAGTTTGGGTGCAGCATTCGGTTTCAGCCTGGGATTAAGACCCTTTGCCACGTTTCAGGATCCCGCATCTTCTTCACATAATTACAGAGTGTTCTCCTCTTTATTCGGTATTTTTTTTTTGGTTTTTTGGCATGCGTAAAGATTCTGAAAACGGGAACTTGGCGGCCGGGCTTTCTTTTTTGCCTTTTTGGCCCTTTGGTCTGACAGCGACTGACAGACAGCAATTGCCAAATAATAAATAATTAGTCGGGGCGGCTCAGAGGGGCGTGGCTAAGTGACATGGCATGCATTTTTCATGGCGTTAAATCAAATATTGGCTGGCCAAAAAAAAAAGTTCGCCAGCTAGAGAAAGCGGGTGCGACCCAAATTTCCGGAGATCGGGAATTAATAATTCCACAGAAAAAATGTTAATTAAGATATTAAGGGCGATGAGTTAAGTTATTTTATCCATATTACTGCCAGGTTTCGCATAAATTATTTTAACATTTAACAACGAAAACCGGATTTCAATTTAATTTTGCTAAAAAATATTAAAGTAACATACTAACATTTACAACTAATAGCAAAGTGTGTTTTTAAGTATTTACAGATATAATTTCATTAATTTTTATGAAACTTTAATATTTATGAAACGTAAATATTTCAAATATATTTTAATATAAAAATATAAAATTTTGTTATTATATTTATTTAACCAAAACAATGACTTAATTATTATAAAATTTCTAACAGAATAAATACCATATTTTATTTACTTACTTAACATTATATTAACAGTTTCATAAGTCAGCTGTCCAGAAAAACAGCTGAGAGCACCTGTTTGCGGGAGAAAAAAGCGAATGAGCTTGTGAAAAGCAAAAGCTGATAAGAGAAACCACTTGTTGAACGAAAAATAAAGCTTTCGATCAGTTCACTTTTAGCAGCTGCACTTGTCTCTACACTTTGCCACTATATAATAGAGTATCCAAGATCAAAATGTCGACGGTTGTGAGGAAACTTATCAGCACAGTTAATGCTGCCAAGCCGGTGGCTCCCTACAAGTAAGTATAATATATAACCAATAGCTTATTTAATTGTTATTAATTATAATATTTATATAGTCAGGCCGTGGTGGCCGATCGTACTGTTTATGTGTCCGGATGTCTGGGTCTCGATAAGGACACCATGCAGTTAGTTCCCGGCGGACCAACGGAGCAAACGGAAAAGGCCCTGGAAAATCTACAGGCTGTGCTTAAGGCAGCGGATTCCGGAGTGGACAAGGTGGTGAAGAACACCGTTTTCCTGAAGGATCTCAACGATTTCGGGGCCGTCAACGAGGTCTACAAGAAGGGTGAGTTCTGTTGTAATAAATACATAGAAAAATATCATTTCTATTTTGTTTTTTATTTTAAGCTTTTATTTTATAGTATTTTATTAACTTTACTTTATTTTATTATGCGTCTTAAATCGATTTATTTCTTTTATAATCTTAGTATTACTCCATAATTGAGCTCATATAGCCAATACCTACTGTATACCGGCCTTTCGATCGATGTCGCCTGATAAGGCAATAGGAATCGTTAGCGCCTTATCGCCCTATTTATTGTTTACCTACTATAAACATTTTATTACATATTATTCTTGTTGTATTACCAAAAAACAAAAACTGTATGCTTTATGTTTGCTTATCTGCCGTTTCAGTGTTCAATAAGGATTTCCCGGCTCGCAGTTGTTTCCAGGTGGCCAAGCTACCGATGGACGCTCTAGTGGAGATCGAGTGCATCGCCTTGACGGGATCTGTCGAAACCAAGACCGTGCAATAGCAACTAAAACCCAGTAAACTTTGAGAAAATATATTAAAGCAAAGGTTAAATTTGGAAAAAAAAATGTTCTTTGTTAAATTAAAAATATCATATTTCTTATGCATTTTTTAAATAATTTTTTTATGATATTTCATTTAAATATAAAAGTTTTTAAATTTAAAAGTAGTAAAGTTTTCCTTAAAGTTTAGTAAAATCCAAAACCTTTTCGAAATAAAGTCATAAAAGCCGAGAAACATTTTCTGCCCGGTGTTATGTAAACAGGCAGCAACTAGCAACATGCAACATGCAACGTGCCGACGTTGAGTTGTTGTTGCTGTTGTTGGATATGATGACTGCACAGGGAGAAAGATTAACAATTTAGAGTATTAAATTTATAAAAAAATTTGAAGATAAAAATAAAATATAAGACACCTGATTAATATATAATTTTAAATGACAATTTTATTACAAACATAACACATTTAAATTATTTTAAAACCACTTGTAAAGGTGTCTCAAAATATGCAACAATATATTTTAGATTCGAGTTTTTATTTGAGCTTGAAGAAATATCGACAGTTTTCTACTTCTCGATAGTTAATGTGTGTTTTCCCCTTAAAGCATCGATATTATCGAATTGATATTGTCTAAATATCGATAGTTTTTCTAACGATTCATATTTTTCACTGCATACTTTCAGACACCTTTATAAATAATTGATTAAAAATTATATTCCTACCAAAACTTTCTTTCCGTGTATGCTCCATATTGATGCGGCTGCCTTTCAGGCTCTTTTCGCCTTTTACGGACCCGACTCCCGGACTCGTGTTTTGTCTAGCATTTGTTTTGATTTTTATTTAAATTTCAGTGAATTTGTCTGCACTCGGCTGCCTTTTGGATGATTTATTGTCCTTGTTGCAGCGAGTGGAGTGCCTGGTGTGAATATGAGTGGTTGCGATGCGGCACGATTATATGGTGATGGTGGTTATAATGGCTGCGACTATTTTCCCCGGCTAACCATTCATTTTTCAGCACCTTTGCGATATTGTTGCACCCGCAGCGTGCAACATCCACGTTGATGTGCCCCATAGTGTAATTAATTCGCGGTGCATCCGCCAAAACAGACAGTCTGGCAATAAATATCCCTGAAATGACGACAATGGACGACGTACGCCTACGCAAAAAAAGGGAACTTGAAGTGCGACTAATTAATTTCGACGCACGACAAATGAAGCCGAAAAAAAAGAGGGGATCCGATCCTCTGGAGCGGTGAAAGTGCGCATAATTTACACGCACGGGCCCAAAGGTTTATGCCCAAATTAAACTCACAATTCTGTTGTACATTTTTACCAATTTGCTTATCAGCCAAAAGGTAGTGGTTTCCGTTGGCCAATTAAGAAAGCCACATGCGGTGGCCATCCAACGCCGTGGATATCCGTTTACATATGTTTTTTGGCCAGTTGCAAGTTGTCATAATTAAAATATTATCCGGATTGCGAGGCCTTGCCGCAGGGTAATTAGTTGTTAAACTGAGCTTTCACTTGCCGTCTTACAAATGACGGGGGATTTTGTATCTTAATATGTGATAAGATATATCTTATCTTCTAAAATAATACTGCTTTAAAAAGCGGTTATCTTTACAGAATCTTTACTTGTATGTAATGTGTAAAGAATATATAAAGTTACATTTATGTACTTTACTATTAAAAAGTTTTAGAAAGAAGGTATTATTACTTTTTTCATAAAAATATATATGCAGGAAAAAACCCATTTTTGAATCTAGCGCCTATTTAAAAGTAATGCATACTTTTAGGGCTGCCGTTATAAAAACACTAGGGGGATTCCCTAAACTGTTGAATTGCTGAATTGTTGAATTTTGGTCAGCTGTTAATCAGCTGTTCCATACAAAGTCAACTTTCAGAAATTTCAGCAATTCAACAGCCTCGGGGCTGCTGAAAATTTTGTTGAATTGCTGAAAAGCCAGAGTTGTCACCTTTTTTTAAAAGTCGTGGCAACTCTGTAACATTTTAGTACCACCAGTACGCATTATTTATTTTAAAATCAACTTAGAAAGCATATTTGTGGTTCTTTTTACCTTGGTAACACTTTTAGACAGTTACTAGCAATAATAAATCAAATTTTACATGCTTTAAGTTCCGTGAAACTTTTCAACAAATAACAGCTGTTTGAAAATTCAACAGGAACCATTTTGGGTCGTTCCCTTAATTGCTGAAATTTTTTGTTGAATTTTCAACAATTCAGCAATTCAACAGTTTAGGGAATCCCCCTACTGCCTTTCACACAAAACACTATTAGTTAGAGATGGCAAATTAAACAATGATATAAATACTAATTTTTAAATTGCAATACACGAAAGCATAAAAATATTCATATATTCCCTGATTAAGATAGATAAAAGGCAGATATAAAATTATGTTTAATATTTTCTATTTCTGTTTTCATTACATCTTATTTAATTAGGATTTATCAAAAGACAGGCAAGTGTTATCGCACTATCGGCTAAAAACGGGCTAAATATATCGATAAGCATCGCCATTCGCCGCGAAATGCAACAACAATGCAACGACTATCGCCCATCCCTAATACGAACTTACAATCAATATGCAATGCGAGTAAATGTGGAAAACAGCAACAAATCGAGCAAAATAATAGCAGTGACAATATTAGTGCATTCTGCACCTGTGAATAACAATTTGGAAAAGTGAAAATCGTGGGAAAACGTCGTGGAAAGCCGCTTGGAAAGGCCAGGTACAAAAACATACACACACAAGTGCACGTCAGAGAGACGGGCTCACACACACGCACGCACACACTGGCAGCCCGTCTTTTCCATGACAAAGTGAAATAGAAGAAACGTTGGGAAAAATAAAGAAAGCAACAAATTGAAAATAAAACAACGTCTGGCATTTGAAAAGACCCCTTTTGGATATATATATACATATCGGTCATCGGTCGGCGGTGCGTGTAAAACAACGGTTCTTGTATTAATTGCACGTATATGTACATAACAATTATATTGTCGCCGTGTGAGTTTTTTTTTTCACCGTTTCTTTTACGCGGAGAGATCGGCTGGGCCATCATATATTTACATATATACAAGCATATATCCCGATATCTGCGATATATGGGGCGACAAAGGAAGTGACGGCGCAGTTCGGCGATCGGGATTGCCGCCCCCGGGATCCCGGGATAATCGCAATATTGCGAATATATTCGCGAATAAAAACCGCCGCTTCCCCAAATAGACATACATACACACATGCAGATGTACGTTTGTTTGCCTGTGTGTACATATATCGCGCTTGACACCCTAACATTTGCGTGGAATGTTTGCACAAAAAATAAAGCAACAACAAAAGAAAAAGTGGTGAAGAGATAACTAGGGACCACCCTACTCGGATTATCTTATAAACAAGGAAACTAATCCCTTAACCATAATCTTTATCTTCTAGGATTGCTGACTAAAGGAACTCTTAGGATTGTGCTCTCGTTTCGTGGAATATTATAATATAAAACGAAGAAAGAAGCCACCGTCATCGGAAAAGTCGGAAAAGCACCTGCTTTTCCTGCAGCTCCCTGCTCCGCAGTCGTCCGGACCGCCAATAAAGTGGAGGAGCAGTGCCGACGCTTGCAAAGCATGAATCTACGGGGAAATCCTCCCAAGAAGGAGGGCAAAATGCGTATACGCGCTTTTCCGGTGAGAACTCTATAAAAATAATTTGGGGAATCCCCGAAAAGCTAAGATATTATAAGGATTTTTTATCCTATATGAGGAATATCAGAAATATATAAATTTTGTAACCCCTTTTTATATTAGTTGTACTATCTTGATAATATTCATTTGTTATAATCAGGGACCGTAAATAATCATTATTTGAGATTTTTATTTTAAAAGGCCTACTGAGGTTTTTACAAGTTTTAATCAACAATTTAACTGGTTTTTATGCACTTTATAGACATGAACAAATAACAGATAATTTGCTTTCCAGATTTGTTGAAATGCATATACTTTGTGGACAAGAGTAAAAAGAACGTTATTTTTGACGTTTAAAACAAAATATCACAGTAGTCTTTTTAAAATAAAAATCTCAAATAATGATTATTTACGGTCCCTGGTTATAATACTAATATTGTATTATTATAAAAACCATTAAGTTAATTATTAATATCAAAAATATTCCTTTATTACTTTAACTCAGTTCTTCCCTTAATCATCCCATATCAAAAATAAATATTTAAATTTGTTTAACCCTTTATATATTAGTTTTACCATATTGATAATATCCATTTAATATAATACTAATATTTTATTATTAAAAAAAACAATTAACCTAATTATTTTTATCAAAAATATCCCTTACTTACTTAAACTTAACCTTTCCTATACTCTAGAACTATAATATATAGCAAGGGGTACTAAAGGTAACGGTCAGGTTTATGGAGTGAGTAGATAAAGTAATTGAGTTATAGCCCAAATAGAATTTATTTTTGGAACTATAGCTTCAAGTTATTGCAGTTTGACTGTTTATACGGATAGGGTTTGGTTTGATAGAAGGCTATTTTTAAACACTGATAGCAGCAAACATTTTTAAATGTAATCTCTCAAGTTTTTCGCCTTACATTCCATTGTACTAATCGCATTTTGTATTGTTTTTCTGCTCTTAATAACCTAACAAACATTAAGTAACGACTTGACTTGCTTTGCTGTTTTATAACTTTGACTTTAGATGACAGTTTACCTGAAAAATCTGTCGATTGCAGCGTGAACAGGCAACATTTTCCGATAAGATAGTTGCGAGGACTGCGGCGTACTTTGAACCCCAGAGGTTTGCAAAAAAAGCAGTGAATATTTATTAAATATTCTATAACTAATACCGAAAAAATGTCAGGCGACAAGAAAATCAAACCGAACAAAACTAAAACACACACACAAACATCAAACACACAAACCGGGGACAGGGGAGAATTTTGAAACACATTTTAGTTTTTAAGTTACAACGAATTCAATCGTAGTTTTCGAGAAATTATTGTTCCCCAAACAGCACACGAGAAAAGTCTGTGAACAGCCGTATGTGGAGAGCAGGGTGAAGGGCGAGACCCGAAACGCGAGTAGAACTCTGTCCGGAGTACGGAGCACGGAGCACAGAGGAGGAGGAGGAGCAGTCAGGAGCAGTGGATGTGGCAAAGAAGTCGTCACCATTCGGTCGTCAAACCAAAGTCGGTCCCGCAAGGCACCCGCCTCAGCAGCGGGCCATCAGGAGGATCGGAGGAGCTACCATCACCAGCAGCGGAGAGGAACGGGTGAGCTGGAGCAGCGTAGCCATCTCATGCACGGCCGCGATCCCCGCCAGCAGCAGCCGGAGCCACTGAACAACCTCAACGCCAATGGCCGTTACCACAATCATCATCGCGCGGTGGCCGGCTCCAATGTGGTGGACACGGGTGCTACCTACCGGATGGCCAGGCAAACGCGCAACCTGAACATCAATGTGCCCACCTTCGTCTCCTCGGCACAACAGCAGCAGCAGCATCGTGTTCCCTCGCAGGGATTGGCTGCTGTGCATCGGCGGGCTTACCACTTGACCGCCGGAGCTGCACGAGTGCGGGCGGAGATCAGAACTAGTATGGATAATCAGCCGTCTACGTCTGCATCTATCCGGACGCCATCGCCACCGCCCATTTCCGTGCCACCTCCAGTTCCCGCCGCTCCTGCTGCCGTTAAAACTCCATCTAATCCTACCCCTTCAACCTCGCAAGCCGCCGCTCAAGTGATCGTCGAGAATATAGGAGCGCGGATTAAGGAAATCGCACGAAAATATCCGCTCTGGGTGCCCGATTACAAGCGGAGGGCCTTCAATGTTAGCCTACTTTTAGATAAATACTAAGTTGGGGAACTTAAAAAAATCTATAAAATTTAAATAATTTAAAAGTTAAAAGTTTCCTTTATAGATCACATTTTTTATATAATAACGAGTTAAAATTATTATGTTTTATGAAGTAATCCTAGTATCTATAGTGAAAACATGAGTCAACAAAAATCTATAAAATTTAAATAGCTTACAAGTTAAAAGTTTCTTCTATAGATTACCTTTTTTTTATATAATAACGAATAGAAATTAGTATGTTTTATAAAGTAATCCTAGTATCTATAGTGAAAAGATGAGTCAACAAAAATATATAAAATTTAAATAGTTAAAAATATAATATTTTCCTGTATAGAACCTTTTTTTTTTTATAATAACGAATAGAATCGAGTATGTTTTATAAAGAAATCCAAGTATTTATAAGTTTAGATATTTATTTAGGAAAAAATAATAATATCTATTGCTTCCAAAACCGGTTATATTATAAAAACGTCAAAGTAGAGAAAGTTACCGGTATCAAACTACTAAGATTAGATAATATTATAGTAAATAAGTCAATTTTAATCCCTGAAAAGCACCCCTTTATAACTATAAATATACTAATAAATTCATATCCTTCATATTTTCCAGGCCTCTATGGACGAGAAGTACGTGGAGACCATTTGGGCGAGCCTGAAGAATGCTATCCAGGAGATACAGAAGAAGAACAACTCGGGGCTGTCGTTCGAGCAGCTCTACCGGAATGCGTACAACATGGTGCTGCACAAGCATGGCAACCGGCTGTACTACGGGCTGCGGGAGGTCGTCTCGGAGCATCTGGAGCACAAGGTGCGGGCGGATGTGTTGGAGGCGCTGCACAGCAACTTTCTGCCCAAGCTAAATCAGGCCTGGACGGACCATCAGACCTCGATGGTGATGATACGCGACATACTCATGTACATGGACAGGGTCTATGTGCAGCAGCGTGAGGTGGACAATGTGTACAATCTGGGATTGATTTTGTTCAGAGATCAGGTTAGATATAATATATATATTGTTATTATTATGCCTTAATCCAAATCTACTTGCCAGGTGGTTCGCTATTCAGAGATCCAGAAGGCTCTGCGTGAGAAATTGCTGGGCATGGTGATGGAGGAGCGACATGGCGAGGCCATCAACCATCTGGCCATAAAGAACGCTTGCAGCATGCTAATCACACTTGGGATTAACTCGCGCACCGTCTACGAGGAGGACTTTGAGAAGCCTTTCCTTGCGCAGTCGGCGGCCTTTTACAAATTCGAGTCGCAGAACTTTCTTGCCGAGAACAACGCTGGCGTTTACATCAAGAAAGTGGAGGCGCGCATCACGGAGGAGTCCTCGCGGGCAGCGCTCTATTTGGACAAGGACACGGAGCCGCGCATTGTGCGCGTTGTGGAGGAGGAGCTGATCAAGAAGCACATGCGACCCATTGTCGAGATGGAGAACTCGGGCGTGGTGTACATGATCAAGAATTCAAAGACCGAGGACCTGGCCTGCACATACAAGCTATTCTCGCGCCTGAAGGAGGAGGGTTTGAAGGTGATAGCGGACACCATGTCGGCATATCTGCGCGAGCAGGGACGCATGTTGGTCAAGGAGGAGGAAAACGGCAACACGAATCCCATAACATTCGTGCAGAACTTGCTGGATCTCAAGGATCGCTTCGACCAGTTCCTGGTGCACTCGTTTGCGAACGATCGCATATTCAAGAACGTCATCTCGTCCGATTTTGAGCACTTCTTGAATCTGAACAACAAATCGCCGGAGTATCTATCGCTATTCATCGATGACAAACTCAAGAAGGGCGGCAAGGGAGTGAGTGTTCCATAATCCTAGTTATTGTGGCATTTATAAAGGCTTTCCTTTCTATTTCCACAGATGAGCGAGCAGGAAATCGAGTCCATTTTGGATAAGACAATGGTGCTCTTCCGTTTTCTGTTGGAGAAAGATGTCTTTGAGCGCTATTACAAGACGCATTTAGCCAAGAGATTGCTGCTAAACAAATCAGTCTCTGATGATTTCGAGAAGAACATGATATCCAAACTAAAGGTGGGTTTAAAATCATGTTATGTCTGTATAAATATTTATTACTCCCAACCTAATTGCAGACTGAATGCGGCTGTCAATTCACCTCGAAGCTAGAGGGCATGTTTAAAGACATGTCGGTCTCCAATACGATCATGGATGAGTTCAAGAACTATGTAAATAATAACAATTTATCCCTGGGCGGTGTGGAGTTAACGGTTCGCATACTAACCACTGGCTTCTGGCCCACACAGGTACGTTTCGAAACCCTTATTAGCCTTAAAAAATTGTAAACTATTGAGTTTCCCAAACAGACAGCAACTCCCAACTGCAATATACCCGCCGCACCTCGCGAAGCCTTTGACATTTTCAAGAACTTTTATCTAAATAAGCACTCAGGACGTCAGCTGACGTTACAGCCACAAATGGGTAAGCTATTTGATAATTTCTCCTTGCTAAGTGCGTGTACTTAAAGCGATTTATTTGTACAGGAACTGCCTATATCAACGCTGTGTTTTATGGCCGCAAAGCAGCCGAAAGTGAAAAGGATAAGGATGCACCCAGCTCCAGTTCAAACGGATGTGCAGTGCCCACCACCACACGCAAGCACATTCTGCAAGTGTCCACCTACCAGGTGAGTTTAAATCCTTCCAGTTCAAAATAAATATTAAATATATAACTTTGCAAATTAGATGTGCGTGCTGCTGCTTTTCAACAACCGCGACGTGCTCACCTATGATGACATCCACCAGGAGACGGACATCCCAGAACGAGAGCTGGTCCGAGCTCTGCAATCGCTGTCCATGGGCAAACCCGCTCAGCGATTGCTAGTGCGCAATTCTAAGACGAAAACCAAGGACATTGAGCCCACGGATGAGTTTTATGTGAACGATGCCTTTGTCTCCAAGTTCCACAGGTGGGAAAGCTTTGAAAAATAAGATATAACTCCTGCTAATACTGAAAATCCAAATTTATGCAGGGTAAAGATCCAAACGGTGGCCGCCAAGGGCGAATCGGAGCCAGAGCGCAAGGAGACGCGCGGCAAGGTCGACGAGGATCGTAAGCATGAGATCGAGGCGGCCATTGTGCGCATCATGAAGGCGCGCAAGCGCATGGCTGTAAGTATATGTTTAATAAACTCTCTGCCTATTTCTTATTTATTAATATTTTTTTAATATATTTTCCAGCATAACTTGCTAGTATCGGACGTGACGTCGCAGCTGAAGTCGCGTTTCTTGCCCTCGCCCGTTTTCATCAAGAAGCGCATCGAGGGCCTCATCGAGCGCGAGTATCTGCAACGATCGCCCGAGGATCGCAAAGTTTACAACTACTTGGCCTAAGCGATTCAAGCGGAGCAGCGCAAGAGCAGCAAGATTACACTCATCTTCAAATCGCCAGGGCTAGTTACACACTGAAAACAAAAATCCGCAGCTCTGACAGCATGCGCGCTGAGCACTCGAGCAGCATTGATATTTTTGACCACGATTATAGATGACCGCCAGCCAAAATAACCCGAATGCATAAAAATATTATCAATTAGTGCGCCCCGAATTGTGAAAATTGCGTTTCGCAAAAAACCCATTTTGTAAGCCTGACATTCAAAATTGAACAGTTTAAAATGCTACTGGATAAGGCACCACCATAATTATTATCCCTCTAATATAATTCTCGATATTCTCTAACTACTGTTTATGGTCATTTCTTTGCGCATAACAAGTGTATAGCAGTAAGCCCGAACCCAACCCACACACAACCCACGCACCACCCCATTCAGAGCCACAATTACACCACCCACATCCACACTCACCCACAAGAATCGTACGTAAAGCAAGATAAGAGAAATAATGCATAATGCAAGCCCTAATTGTAAGCAGCTGAGTATAAAATGGTAAAGAAGCAACAACAGAAATCTAAGCAAAAAGGAATATTAATAACTATAAATATAGCTAAAGTAATAAATTTATAAATGAATTATTAATTTTAGTGAGCGTTTGATGTACATTTATACGTCTGGCCCAAATCCAAGTCCTAATCCCCCTGCTAAAAACATTCAAGCCACGTTTTGAGATTCATGTGAACAGAACTTAAAGATCGCAATGATTATTAATTCCTATCTTTATTTTTGTGTACGCCCCAAAGCAAGTGTTTAACGTGAGAAGTGATTATGATTACGATAATCTGTATGAAAGTTGTTTTATCTATTAGTTGATATGTGGAATCAATTCCAAGTATATAGGCAACACAGTTCTGTAATGGATTTGAATTAAGTAGGACACAAAGAATTCATTTTGAATATATTACACGGAAAACAATTTAACGCCGAACAAACGCATGATGGAAAACGGAAGCAAACGCGATCTAAAAATTGTAAATACATTTTTGTTCTTACGTATGAAAAATCGATATAAATAAAACGTATAATGAGCGTTAACATTTAACACAGTTGTTGTCTATCTTTTAAAAACGGATTTTAAAACATTTTCAATTGAATGCTTTTATTCGCCTGTAAAATAAAACTAATTTGGTAACATTTTTTATCCACAAAAAAATATTGTTTTAAATTGGTGTTTAAAATGGGGGGAAAATGATATAAATTTACTTGATTTAGAATTGTCAAACTTTTTCCTGTTGAATATTTTTGAGTTGAGATACTATTAATATCTTATAGTATCTTAGATCCTAACTATCTGTATTTGGTTATTTCTTATAGAAATAATATTCCACCTAGTTCGTAGCACTTTTTCCACGGATTGTGTAACCTTTCTCAGCTTATCGGGCACCCATACCATTCCCATATCGGAGTTATCAATTCGGCCAAACAAACTTATCCATTGGCAAATACCCCACCGAATGAGCTAGCAATTATGTGAAATTGGCAGAGCCGAAACCGAAACTTGGGCAAACAGCGATGACTTGCGGGTTATATGGTGGGTTATATCGGGAGCAGAAATTCGGAGCCGCTAAGTTCTTGGGTAAACACGGAGCGATCCAATTCGATCCGATCCGACGCACTGATAAGCAGAGAGTCGAGTTTTGAGTTCCCCTTGATAAAGAGAGAGGTTCTCTGGGTTTTCTGGGGAGCGGGCACTACGAACCGCTCAGTTCGCTTTAGTTAGCGATCGAGATTCAGTTTTCAGTTTTCAGTGACGGTTTCGGGCGAAACGTTGTATGCCCAACTCGCGGAATTCGGATTGGATCGCATGGAATCGTGAAGAAGGGGAAAGAAATAAAAGCAACAGGCTGAAACCGAACCGTATACTTAATACGCGTGTGTGTAGCTCGCAAAAAAACAAGAAAAATATAAATAAACAAAACTACATTGCTACGTCAGAAGACTACAAACAAAAGATATGAACGCAGCGCTGACGTCGCCGCCAAGGTTCGAATCAGATATTATATTTTTTCGCCCATTTTTGTCTGCGTTGTTTTTCGTTTTCTGATAAGTTTACAACTTTACAACTGTGTTCTGTATTTTTTTTTTTTGGTGTCTGATTTTTTGCCAAGTGATTTGCGTGCACTTCAAGGGGAGGAGAACTGCATTCGAGGTTCCCAGCAGCAGCTCTCCGATCTTTTCGATCAGCAGTGCCTTGAGATAGCCGCTCTCGAAGTGAACGTTCCGATGTGGAAACCTTATACACATGTCTAATTACACAAGCTAATCCCGTAAACTAGCCCAGACTAAATCAGCATTAAATCGGCAGCCTAAGAACTCGGATACCAGTTAAAAACGGAGCGGAAGGAGGAAGTAGATTTCGCAACTTAGGATCTCGATATCATGGGCTCGCGACGAGCTGGTTTCGTCCTGGACGCCAAGTCCATGGGTCTGAATACCTCGAGGCCGCCGTCACCGTCGCCACCAGCTTCTAGTACAAGAGTTCCCAAGGAATCGCAGCTGGAGAAAGCCAATACCTCCCAGGAATCTTCCCTGGAAGCCACCTGCCGTTCCCAGTGCAATGCCAGCACGGAGTCCCTGTCCACCGATTCCTTCCGCTGTCTGCTCCAAAAGCTGCGGAATGGCACCGGCGACGCCGGCGAGGTGAACTTCGAGCTGAACAACATATTCCTCAAGCGGCTGGACGAGATCGACTGCCTGGATGGCCAGGGAGGTGATGCAATGGTGAGCGGATAGGTAATCCATGGGTAAAAATTGATGAGGAAACTTAGGAACTTACACAGAAAAATAATTCGATATGAAAAAGGGTCAATTTCACATTATTTTATAGCAATAAAAAGTCGATATGAATTATGTCAAATTTATGGTGTAAACATATCAACTTGATATTTTATCATATCATATAAAATAGCAAATTAAATATTTTTAAAAAAAATAATGTAAAATAAGTTATTTGATCTTTAAAAAATATAAAATTGACCAGCACATATCAATTTGATCTTTTGTCAATTCTTTTCTTTGTGATGTCTAAAAATTTGAAAGCAGTGAGATAAATAAATATTATATATATTTTAGAAAAGGGATTTTATTCTCCAGAAAGGCAATTTTAATATTTAATCATTTTAGTTTCAATTTAAGTTTATAACATTTAAATCAGGGTAGAAAATATCAGTTATTAGTTTCATATTAAAATCAAAGCTTAAATGGTTTACCCTATTATGAACCTAATGGATTAATGCTGTTTTTTTAGTAGAGTGCTTCGAAAATAAATCTTTTCCTCTACCTCTAACCCCTAGTACACCTCCGAGCTGCGTCTGGTGACCTTCCAGGAATGGGTTGAGTTCCTGCTCCACGTGAACAACGTGATCCTGGGCAACATGTCCGATTTGGAGGAGGAGGCCTACGGCAAGATCGTGGCCTGCGTGAACTCGGTCCAAGGAGAACAGCAACAGGCGCTGGATGAGAATCGCAAGCTGCGCAGGGATCTGTGTGCCCTGATCAAACTGGTGCAGACTGCCCACAACCACAATAGGTGGGACAAGAAGCACCTGACCCTGGAGACCCTAACCCCGAATCAGCTTTTTGGCGTGGCCGAGGACCAGACGGTGCCGGAAAGCGAGAGCGAGAAGGTAGGCCATTCGACCTTGAAGGATCATAAAGGAGGAGGCGGTGGTGGTGATACCAAGTGCAAGTGCGCCAAGTCCAAGACTCGTTTAAGCTGGAAACGATAAATGTTCCCCATTTAATTCTTCAGTTTATTTGTGTTCAATAAAATATTATGTTTTGTTTAATATTACTTTAGGACTTCATTTTTTGATTGGAGTTTCAATCTATTGCAGATGGCCGAGTGCATGAAGTCTTTGGTCAACGAGATGGCCGCCAAGCATGACGAGCTCCTTCACTTGAAGTCGCAGATTGGAGCCTTGGATGAAGTGATCCTCACGGCCAGGCAGAAGCTGCTCCTCAAGGATCAGTGCATAGCGCAGCTCAATCAGCAGGTGAGATTATTACAAATATTCTTATAATGTTAATTTCAAGTAGTAAAAAATTGACAAAAGATCAGATTGATATGTGCTGGTCAATTTAATACATTTTAAAGATCATTTTGATATGAGTAAAGAATAAAAAAGTACTCTTTTTTTATACTATTTTATATGAAATGATAAAATATCATGTTGATATGTTTGAATTATAAATTTGACATAAATCATATCGTCCTTTTATTGATATAAAATAAGGTAGAATTGACCATATTTTATATCCAATTTTTTCTATGTTTGGAAGCTTAAAATGTAATTTATTTTATTATACAATTTTTAAGTTGTCAATATAATTATCTAATTTATAAAAATACCAATGAATAGTGTGTAATATCAGTTCAAAATAAGATTAAATAACAGCTTTGTATGGCTATCAGGTGAGCTAGTGACGTTACTCGTCTTATAAATAGACTAATTGGAATATTTTCCTTATCGCTTAATCGGAAACCCGATCAGCTTACATTTTCGAACTACGTCAATTTTGTAGGAAATTCTCAGTGTACTCAACTCAATAGCCCTTCTCATATTTCCCACTAATAACTAATTTGTTTTCCGATTACCCCTGAAAACAGCTGCAAGAGATCACCGAGTGCTTTGCCACCATGTCGGACAATACGCTCTGCCAAGGACACTCTGCGTATGCGAATGCCACCAAGGATTTGGAAGGCGGTCCGTTGGATTTCGAGGATTCCCCCAGCGATACGATAGCCAACGAACTGCTGGAGAATCTCTCGATACAGGACAACCAGGAGAGCGAGATGCTCAGGCTCCTGAACAGCGAACTCAACGAGCTCTTCGATCTGAACCACAAAAAGGACTACCAGGCCATGGAATCTGGCCGTAAACGCCTCTCCTGCTTCTTCGAAAAGTTGGTAAGGGATCTTGATACTTCTATATTTAATTACATCTTAATCTATCCATATCCTTTCGTTCTCAGTCCACCGAACGCGATGATACGGTGAAAAAACTAGAGTGCATCCGCAGTCACCTGAGAATCCTTCAAACGGACATAGACCAATCCTGCCTGAACACTTTTAGTTCCGGAACCACCGGTCCCGGTGATCCTGACACCCAGATGATGGAGGCCCTGCGACGTCGTATGCACAGCCTCGGCCAAAGCAATCGGGAATTGCACGGAAAGTACCAGCGACTGGATACCGAGTCAAAAAGTGTGTATTCCTGATCCTACGATCCGTTCAAGTTTCGCTATAACCATGGATACAGTCAAAATTTCAGAGCTGCAGGCCAGGATTGAATCGGAAAACAGCTTTAGTCAGAGGAATTCCGATATTCTGAAGGAGATTGCCGAAATGATTTGCAAAATGGTAAGACTTAAAGTTATTTTATAAGTATACCTCAAAAATACCTTCTTTAAATATTCTTAAATGAATTTTTCTATAAACTCGTACAAATTTACGTATTTAAAATTCGAAAAGAAATCCAAAATTAAATAATTTAATTGAAAAACGTAGTCTTTTATTGGAACTTCTTCATAAATTCGTAATATATTACAAATAATTTGCTAGAATCAACTGATTTTCTTTTAGGGTACCGTGGAGTTCTCCTACAACGAAATTTACGATGAATCCTCGACGGAAAACCCTTTCTGCATAGCCATCATGGAAATGTTCGAGCAGAGATCCCAGCAGGAGCGGAAACAAATGGCATGTGTGAGTATCTGACGGTTTCGATTACCCCGCAATTAAGCGATTCCAATAACCCCGGTTGTCATAATATCAAAATGCAGAAAAGCGATACGAAAACAACACCTTCCCAAACAAGGGAGCCACCGCCCACCAAAGCCTCCAAAATCCCCGCAGCCACGGCAAAAACAAAGGCAACAACTAAACCTTCGACTAAGCCAACGGCAACGACAACTAAAACTATAACAACGAAAACCACGAGTAAATCGAGGACCCCCAAGTAACTATGTCACTTGTTGACCCTCCTGAAAAAACATTTAGCCTAAGCTAAGCCAAGTTAAGTAGTTAAGTATAGCTTAAAGTTCGACAGAGTTGTAAAGTAAAGTTATTTATCATCGAAGTAGTTCCCGCCAAAAACTAAAAGAAGAAAACATGTTTGTTTATGTACACAAATCAACTGAAATCCAATGTGGCGAAATATATGTGCCAGGAGCTCAGTGGAAAGGGGATATTATAGAACTAGAATAATTATGTATAGGATATCTCAGAATTCCGAAATAATTAATACTTATTTAAGTTATTAGTTTAAAGTAAAAAATTTCTTAAATCCTATAATATATTTCTCAAATTTTAGACCATGCCTCTGGCTTAAAATACATTTTCCTCTTCGCACATAGAACTCTCTTATGTGGTAAATGACATTCGCCTTCGTGTATAAAGCCACATATATATAGTTTTTATATACCTATCCTGTCTCACCTGGGAATGACAACAAATATTGTTGCCAATCGAGTCCTCTGATTTATTTACCCATATATATTTTTTGCCCGAACCCAGAAGTAAGAGATCCATTTCACTCCCCTTTCGGGTTTTTGTCTACATTCGACAAATACAAATCGCTGGCGAATGTGTTTATTGTGGAAACTCGGCTGTATGTTCAACTGCAATTGCCTTCAGAGAGAGGGAGTACCTCCATCCAGATCTACCTTCACCCCCCAGGAACTGGCGAATCGGAAATAGGTTTCGTGTTATTTATTTACCCACAATCGACACGCGAACCAGGCGAGCAGTGATATGCATATCGATGAGAGCCGCGGGGATTGGATTCGGCAGGGATTCGAGTGACGAGAGCTGCTCGTGATCCTCGTGAGTGGCAAGTTGGGGAAATCAGGGATTAAATAAACTAATATCGGGGTTATCCTAAAGAACTAAACTTAAATCCAAGTTTCTCAAAAATTACCTTTTAAAAACCACCTTAAAAAAATTGTATTTTAAAATTATATATCCATAACGGATAATTTTGTATAACCGTGCGTTCAAAAGCCTCTAAGAGCTCTTTATTGTTTGGGAAATAATACAAAAACATTATTTTCGAAATTCTAATCAAAGATGCATTTTGGAGAGGAAAGAAGTATTTTTAAGTATTTTCAAATATACGAATATACATTTTTTTTAATTTCTAAATTTTTTCTAATATGATTTTCATTAAGTCATATATTCTAAAATCAAAGATAAATGTTGTTCGGAAAATTTGTTCAAATTCTATTCAAATTTTTAAAATTTTATTTAAGCTAAATCTTCCATTCTAAAATCGAGGAATAAAAAGGTTTATAAATATTTTCGAATAATTCAATATTTACTTTTAGAAAATTCCAATATTAGCTTCTAAGTGCTTTCAAATACTCAAAAATTGTACGTAAAATTTGAAAATTTGTCTAATATTTCAAGTAAATCCCTCAAGTGTATAAAGTCCCCTCACGCGATCATCACTTTTTCAAACAAATGGGCGCAAAATCAAACACAACTCGGCAGGAAGGCTCAGTCAATGAAGTAGTTCGCTTCAGAATCCTGTCATCCGTCGGCGGTTGCTGTTTAGTCGCGTGAAACAAATCAAGGAAGCGCCAGGAATCGGCATCGGGAATATAGCGCCATAGCCTCGCACATAAAACAGACAATTTACGACCCCTAATTAGTCGCCCACGCGCCCAGTAAACCAATTTGAATTTCAGTTTTTTCGGCGCGAAAAACGAAAGGAAAAGCGTGCAATTAGCCAGGAAGTTTTCCGCTCCAAAAACGCGAGGAAAAAGTTGGCCAAAAGTGCAAATTGTTTTCGAGTGTTTTTTTCGAGGGGGTGAGATGACGAAGTGCAAACTGTAAATGTGCAAATTGAGTCGGTGGAAAAGGTGTGGAAAACTGAAATGTGGGAACCCCTTAATGGGTTTAATGACAGACAAGGAATCATAACAACAATTCATTGCCCCCGTCGTCTTAATCGATTTTCACATTTCCCGGGCTATCAAATTCGTTCGGAAACGGAACCCCCGCCCCCAAAATAATATGCCTTTAAAAGTGTTTTAAGTGCGCCGAGCCACGCTTTCCCCAAACCCCCCATATAAATAACTATAACTATAGACCATCGAAAAGAGTCAGACAGACGATATTATTCGCTGCCACCCGCTCTCTGCAACTTTATTTTCAAATCGTGTCAAACAGTCGGGGGCCGTGCAAATAATAATATCTATAAAACTTAGGGGAAGTCCCCTCCACCACCCCAAAATAGAAAAATAAAACCAGTGTGTGTGTTGTTGCCAAAGTGCCAAAGAAAAAACTTTGAAACCCGAAACCTTGCCACCTACGTTTCGAATTGGTTTTATTTTCGTGACAAACTTTTAATAGCAATATTATTGAAATGAAATGAAACGGTAATGAAGTCGAAATTCGTCTGGGTTATGCGAGATAGATTTTTCCAGAGGCCGCCGACACGAAGGCTCCGAACATTCGACACCGAAAGCCATTTAAATACAGAGATATATACTCGTATCTGTATCTGCAATCGGCAATTGACAACTGACAGGTGATTCCGTGCGCGGATTTGTAGGCAATTAGTTACAGATTTTTGACTTGCCATGGTAAGAGTCTAGTTAGCTGTCCCATTTCCGAATGTTAATTTGCCTTTGTAGAACGCAGAGGCCAGCTCCTCGGATTGCCCCCATCGCCAGCAGTTGGAGCACACGCTCCTCCACTGCCAAACACAATCGGAGATCCTGCAGGCCACCCGGGATAATTACCTCAGCATTATCGATGAGTTCAAGCGGGATCTCGAGGAGCTGACCGAACAGGTGGAGCAACAGCAGCAGCAACAGCAAACCAGCCAATCCTGTCCAGAACCAGAGCTCCACTGTGTGGATCAGCCGCGGATCAACTGCGAACTGGAAATACAAGTTGGACACACATTAAAATAGGATTTTTTTTAGAAAGATTTTAACTTTATCTCTGATTTTTTCGTACAACTTTCCCAACAGAACGAACACCTCGCCTGCCAAATCCATGGACTGCAGGGTAATCTGAAGGATCGGGATAATCAGATCGACCAGCTGCAGTCCATGATCAAGAGCTACTCCGATTTCAGCGAAAACAATCGACTCAAAGGGGAGATACACGAACTTAAACAGAAGAATAGTGAGTTATTGCTGAAGATTTGGATATAATTTAAAAACTTAGAAATGGATTTTTCTTATAATAAAATACACAAACTTAAACAGAAGAATAGTTAGTTATTCCTGAATATTTGAACATAATTTAGAAACTTAGGAATGTGTTTTTTTTATAATATTTATAAGTAGATTTTGGAATTAATTTAATTGAAACGTTTATATTTCCATTGCTTGTTACAAAACTATTGTTTCTGAAATCTGTCTTAAACATTTTTAAAATACAGATATACAATTTCTTATTTAAACAAAATGGTAATAGTCTAGAAGAGCGGCCTGAGCACCAAAAACCGCGAAAAAATTGCCCTCGATGGACCGCGATTTCTTAGGAATTTACGTGCAGAAGATTATTTGCGGAAATGCATTGTTCTCTTGTAATTGCATTTCAAAGTTGCGTGTTTTGCTATAAAAACAAAGTAGGATTTTCTAGGATTTTGAGGTGTTTTGTGTCATTTTGCTATAAAAAACATATGGGCTTTCCGTTTGTTGTCAAAATAATAAGCGTTCGAAAAAATTCGACAAAAATGTGAAATTGTTTTTATAGCAGGCCAGACCCCACAACCGCGAATTAATATCCTCGATGGACCGTGATTCCTAAGAGCTTGTGCGACCATGGATGACCAACATATACATTTTTAAGATGAATCTTAAGAAATCGCAATCCGAGGAGGATCAACCGTAGTCTTTATCAAAGCCAATTACGAGAGTTTTTAGTTCAGTACCTCCTTATACTTGTAACTCATTTGTAATAGTAAATAAAATGCTATATTAAACTATGGTTAATGATTGGACAGTAAATATTTATTTATAAAAAATGCTGGTTAGTGGTACAGATTAAGCCTATTCCTTTTCATTGTCCGTATCGGTGGTTTCCTGAAATTTAAGATAGTTAATTGTTAGTATTTAAAAGGTTGATCCTCCTCGGATTGCGATTTCTTAAGATTCATCTTAAAAATTTATATGTTGGTCATCCTTGGTCGCACAAGCTCTTAGGAATCACGGTCCATCGAGGATATTAATTCGCGGTTGTGGGGTCTGGCCTGCTATAAAAACAATTTCACATTTTTGTCGAATTTTTTCGAACGCTTATTATTTTGACAACAAACGGAAAGCCCATATGTTTTTTATAGCAAAATGACACAAAACACCTCAAAATCCTAGAAAATCCTACTTTGTTTTTATAGCAAAACACGCAACTTTGAAATGCAATTACAAGAGAACAATGCATTTCCGCAAATAATCTTCTGCACGTAAATTCCTAAGAAATCGCGGTCCATCGAGGGTAATTTTTTCGCGGTTTTTGGTGCTCAGGCCGCTCTTCTAGACTATTACCAACAAAATAATAATATTCAATTTCTTTTTAAATGTTTTATATAAATAATATTTTTTTGAAAGATAAAAAAAAGAAATTATTTTTTTGAATTGGATTCAAGAAGTTTCACCAAATAAATAGATCTACTTTGGAATATATAATAATTACACAGAAAAAGCAACAAGCACTAAAAAATCGTTAGGAAATTGATCACCTTAGAAATTATAAGTAATATGATCAAATTTTTTAATAATATTTTGTATATTCACCTAAAAATATCCACTTTAAAATCTGGTACAAATCCCCAGTCTTAGTTTTGTATACTATAATTTTTATTTATTTATTTAATAAACAAGTAAATATTTGAAATATAAAAATCCTTTTTTCCAGGTGACCTTTCTCGCCAGTTGCGGGAAATATCCACTTTGCTGTCCAACCAAGAAGAGCAACGCGTGGAGCTGTGCAGCAAATACGAAAGCCTGATGAGCAGCTTCGAGGATCAGTGCCAGGAGCTCAAGGGAGCCAAGAGAAGAGTACAGAGCCTGCAGACGAAACTGGATCAGGTGGAGCAGCTGCAGGATGAGCTGCGAACGGAGGTGGGTTCTTGGCTTTATTAAAACCTTAAAATAAATAAAAACTATTTATTTCAGCGCAAAATGCTGCGTGAGGAGGTGATCGCCCTGAAGGAGAAGGAGGCCGTTTCCACGGGTCGCGAGCGGGCACTTTATGAGCAGCAGAAGAATGGCCATTTGGAGCTGGACAAGCTGCGCCAGATGATTCGGGAGCTGCAGGCTCAGATGCGGATGGAGAGCAGCCAGCACAGCAAAAATGTACAGCGGATAGAGGAGACCAGAGATTCTATGAGAGCAGAGTTACATGACTATCGCACCAAGAACCAGCAAATGGAGATCCGTCTGAAGTAGGTAGTCCGTCCGGGGATGGAGTGCATCCATATAAGATCAGCTGCCATCTTCTCTCTTCCCGCTAGGCAGCAGACAGAGGTCAATCGGCAGCAGGACCAGATCATCGAATCCTTTCGCAAGTGGCGGGATGCCCAGGTCAGGGCCGACGATGCAGTGCGTCAGTGTGCCAAGCAGTCCGAAGAGCACATCCACATGCTGCTCGAGGAGAACCAGGCGCTGGCCGAGGACTATCGCTCGCTCTTCCGCGATCACACGCTCCTGGAGAAGGAGATGTTCCGGGTCAAGCAGGCGGTCAACTATGCGTCCAGCTCCTCGATGGGTTGTCCACCGACGCGGATGAATCCTGATTCGGGAAACGATGTGAGTTATGGATCATTTCAATTTGAAACTAAAAAAATATACAACAAATTATTATTTAATATGTTTATCGTCTTTTTAAAATTCTCACCTAATTGGATTATCATTGGATTACCAAAAACGAACAGCTGGCATAGTAATTATATTTTACAGAATATTTATAAACTATCCTGTGAATTCCCCAGATGAACAGGCGACTGCAGAATTTGACCAGCACCTCCCAGCGTATTTCAAACCAGAACAGGAACCTCAACATGAATTCTCGAAGTCGTCCGGTGGCCCAATCCACAATGAGGCAAACAGGATCCTCGGAAGATCTGTCGTAAGGCAGGAGACGTAACCAGGATTGTCATGCCCCCTCCCTCCGTCCATTTTAAACTTAATTTTCACCCTAAATCCCTAGGCCAACAAATATTTTCGAGGCGCGTAATTTGTAAATTATCTTTGTAAATTGTGGTAGAAAATAAATAAAAGAAAGTGCTTGTGTAGAAAGGTTTCCTATCACTCTCTAGTGGTTATAAAAATATAATATGGATAGTGGGATTTCAAATAGCCTGATGATTTCTGTACTAACATTATTATTATCTATGTTTCATCCTTAAGAAGACGTATAAGTACTCTATAAAGTACTAGAAACTATCTTATAAGTGCTCTAGAAAATGTCCATATCTTTTTTCACATCCACCAATTCTGTAGAATCAAATTTTTCTACATTCTAGATATCCTAATCTATTATAATGTTTTTTATATGTAAATATTTTTCGATTTTTAATAAGGCTTATAGCTTTTAATCGTTTATTATATCTAGGTAAATTAAATACCAGAAGAAATCCAGAAGACATCTTTAAAAAAGTACCCAGGATTTTGTAGATCATGTGCTGGTTCTAAAGAATTCGCTTTATCCCCTTTTTCCTAATCGCTTTGGATTAGATTGGCTCTTTCGCTGATTGCTATCAAAGCCATTTTGATCTGGGCCCTCTTCTTGATGCTCTCCTCGCGCAGGACATCGGATTGCTTGGTGAGGATTTTGACGCGGGTCTCGCTGAAGCGTTCCGCCTCCGGAATGGACATCTCCAGGTACACATCCTTGCCCACATTGACCAGGATGCTGTCCATTTTGCGGACGCGTGCCTGCATGAAGATGTTGCTGCCGATGTTCACTTGCGTTTTGTAGCCCTCGGGCAAGTGGGTGTCGAAGGTTTGGAGGGTGTTCTTTAGCTGGACGTACTCCATGATCTCCTCGTTGAACTGGCCAATGCACTTTTCCAGCTGCCGCAGCTCCTCCTTCAGAACTTCGTTGATGAACTCCTCAATCCGCGTGATTTGCGCCTGATTTGCAGCCTGCCTGTAAGGAAGATTTTAGAGTTTTAGAGGTTTCTTTAAATGATTCACTACCTACTCCTGCATCCGTTGGCTTTCAGAGATGTTCTTTTGTTTTATTTGCATTGTAGGGGCGGTAAATAAGTAGAAATTAGATAAACTACACAATTCAATTCTTTTGTTTACTTCTGGTTTCTTCTTCTTCTTCGCGTTGAAATTGCGGCAAACAGCTGTTATCGATAGGCAGTGGAGCTGCAAACTTAACTATATTAAAGCTAAACCGAGCTTTGGAAAATAAACTACACAAAATCTATCTAATACAAATCATTTTCCGAACAAAAAATCGTAATGATATGATGATATGGTTCAATCTGGGTACTCATTAAACTGTTGAATTGTTGAAAATCCACCTGCAATTTTCAACAATGAAGGGAACAACCCTATATAATTCCTGTATGTTTTTTTGCTAGTTACTGTTTAAAATGAAAAAGAACTCCAACACACTTTCTAATTTTATTTTAAATAAATAATATGTCCTGGTGATAATAAAAGGTTTCAGAGTTATGTTATAACTTATGTTAACAGCTCTGGTTTTCAATCCGGCTTGTTAAATTGCTGAAATTTCAGAAAATTTAATTTGTATGGAGTGGTTTATAAGCAGCTGAACGAAAATCAACAGTTTAGGGAATCCCCTAGTTATCTTACAGCTGGCTATATGGGGGCGATAGTATCGCGATAGTTTTCAAGCCATCGATATTGCCATCAATAATTCACACCAGTTGGCAGCCCCATAACCACAGCATTTTGTTTTCGCGGTATTTTCCAGCCCACAAATTGCAGAAATGTCGCTTAAAAAGGCCCTCGCCGACTGCATGATCGATTTCGATCGCTGTGTGCTGGTCACCGACCTCCTGGAGGAGTACAAGCTGTCCTACAAGGAGGTGAACGACACCCTGGAGGCCTACATCAAAAGCCAGGAGCCGGAGACGAAGTTCGAGAAGAGATTTCTGGTTCATGGCAGGCGGAAATCCGTTTCTGGAGAGGATCTCTACTCTGTGGTGCTCGAGAGCAAGCTGAAGGATTGGCTGGCCAAGGTCCAGGATGCAGAGTCCCAGCTTTACAGTGTCAAGATCGCAGGAGGCACCAAATCGCCGGCTGCCAGCTTTAAACCCATGCGGCATTTGGAGGTCAAGTTGGCCAAAGTGGAGCAGCGTGCGGGAGCGATTAAGTCGGTTCCCATTACAAATGGAGCACCAGTCACCAATGGTGTCAAGACTGAAGCCTTCAAGGCGGCGGGCAGCAAAGCAGAAGCCTCCAAGGTGGATCCACCCAAATCTTCGGTTAAAAAAGAGACTGTAAAGACGGATGTGGATAAGAAACCCTCTCCGGAGTCCAAGAAGACCTCGCCCAAGGAGCAGGCCTCTAAAAACAAGACTGCGCCAGCCAAGAAGGGCAGCATCAATAGCTTCTTCACAGCAGCGGCCAGTAAACCCAAGGATGTGAAGGCCACACCAAGCAAACCGGCGGCAGGAGCAATGGATAACTTCTTGAAGAAGCAGCCAGCTGGTGAAAAGAAGTCGCCAACCCAAAAAGAAGAGAAAGCTGCACCTCCACCTATCAAAAAGGAAGCAGCTACCAAGAAATCCCCTCCTAAGTCCACCAAAAAGTCACCAGCCAACACCTCCGTTCAACTTTTCGACGAGGAGAGCGCCGAATCCTCTGACGAGGAGGAGAAGCTGGACAAGCTGCGACGCAAGGTGATTGGTTCGGACAACGAGTCCGATCAGGAGAAGCCCTCGACCTCCAAGCGGCGACGCATCAGCGACTCCGAGGACGAGGAGCAGCCGCCCAAGAAGGCCGCCGAACCAGAAGTAGTCGCAGTCGATGAGGAAATGGAGACGGAGCCGGCCAACGAAACGTATCTGGACGAAGATGGTTTCGTCATCACGCAGAGGAAACCGGTGAAAGCCCAACCGGTCAAGAAAAAGGTTTCCCCAAAGTCTTCAGCCCCAGCCAGCAAAAAGAAGTCGCCGCCTTCAGCTGGGAAAGCTGGAAAAGATGGGCCCAAAACAAAGCAAGCCGGCATCATGAGCTTTTTTTCGAAGAAGTAATCACAAAAGCATGAAAGAGCTGCACTAAAGATTAAGCATTAAGGAAGAGCTATTTTTGTTTTTAATAAATTTATTTATGCCACATAGCAAATCATGGATTTTCAATTTAAGAAAGATTTAATTTAAGAGAAAAAAAAGTTAAAGGTTAGTTAAAAGTTAATGATAAAATGTTCAAAAAATAAGGGCAAATAGTTAGGAAAAATTATTATGGGAAAAATAGATTAAATTGTGAATTATTCCCTGATTTAAATATTTTATGTGCTATTTTGGTACATACAAAAATCAAAAAGTGTAAGAACTCAATTTCCAAAAATGCATACTCATTGCTATATTTATTTTAATCTTCTTAAAAATTGTATATTGAATCCAATCGAAGGGCATTAAAAACACAAGATTTGTTTTGTTGTTAAAAAGAATTTATTGCATTTGTTTATAGCTGCTAGAAGTTGTTTGAGTATCTTGTTTGTAATTTGTATTTATTTATTTATATAGATTCGCGTGTCTGATTGTGTGTCCGTGTGTGTGTGGGCGTGTCGGTGTGAATTTTTGCCTGGCCTATGCTGTATCAGTGTTCGTTATCTTTACCGTATTTCAAAACATTTTAAAAAATTAAGGCGAGGTTTGAAAAACACTTGTTCGTTCATATAATTCGAATATTCATTAATTTAAATTGTTCATTTGTTGTCTTGTTTTTTTAGTTTTTTATTTTTTTGTTTCTGCAGTGATTGCGTTTGATTCCTATCTGATTTTTAAGCATTAAAAGCTTACAGTCAGGCTGCCCGATGGCAAGCAAATACATATGTATGTAAGTGATTGAGTAAGGGGTTTTTTTGTGGATAAAACAATTTGTCGTGTTTCTGGCAAACAATCGAGATCAGTGGCTACGCTTAGGTAGAAGCTTCTCAGAAGCTAAATTAATGCTTACACTTAGATTTGCTTCGGCCTATCTACCGATTAAGTTCCCCCCTTTGGAACCACTCACTGTATAAATCCTGGGGATCCAAAGTTTAAATTTTACTAAATTTCATAGATTTTTAAGGATTTTTATACAGTGGGTATTCCATAAAGGTTCCCCCTTTGTAGCTTTTTGTTAATTCATAAATATTGCTCGCAATGCAAAATGAAAAAGTCATTTGCTATATATAATCAATCAGTTAATTAATAATTTCCTAGGTGTGATATGAACATAATGTGTGCATGATATGATTCTCTACTAAATATGATCCTTTTTGATTTCTCTCGCACGCTATTTGCCTTGACTTAATCACCTAAATGAATGTAACATTCGTTTCGTACAATTTAATATCTCAGCACCATTTTTTTTAATAATAGCACAAAGTATATATGCATTTATGGTTCTCTTTTTTCTGTTTTTTCAAGGGTCAACAATAGAATTTTCCTAGAATTTTTTGTGGGTGTTTTTCGTTTTCATTTCATTTCGCTACAGAGTAAAATATATCTAAGTTTATTTAACTTTGCTCGCTTCATTGTTTCGGTTTACTCTTTCTCTAAACTTGCGTATCTACGACACTGCCATAGGACTCTTCAGCAAATTTGGGCGCAATATAATCCTCGTAGTAGTTGATGAATATATCCTTAAACTCATCGGCGATGAACTCCAAAGCGTTTAGCATTTGCATTAGCTCGCGATCGTTGCACTTGTAATTGCTCAGGGCCATCACATCCCAGAAGTAGGCGAAGTACTTGACGTACTCGATCGACTGTCCGCCGTACTGGGCGATCACTGTGGGCAGTACGGAGCGCAGTATGGACCCCAGTTTGTTGAACTCCCAGTCGTCCAGCACGGTGGCGCCCTCTGTTGTTCAGTTTTTTAGAAGTAGGAGGAGTAGATAGAGAAAGAGAGATCAGAAGGATACGAAAGTAGGAAATAGGCAGAACATATTTATAAAGCTTAGTTACATTTTAAAATCTGTTTATTTTGACATTTACAAAAGATAATGGTTTAAAAAACGAAGTATTTTTAAGCTGAATAAATGAATAAAACTCTTGAATAGAACTTTTTATAATCCCTTTGAATCTAAAATACAGCTAAGCTAAAATAATGTTAAAATTTATCTATACAAGTAGTTAATGTACAAAATCTGTCCGTCATAGATTGAAAATTATTTTACTTTAACATATTAATTTATTTAATTAGCTTTCTTACAAAGCCGTATAAAAATAATTAAATCGGTTTTCATAAGAGGAGAGTAGAGGATTATTTTAAAATCCTTTAAATAGCTACAACTACCTGGTGATGAGAAATCCTTATAAAAAGGGTGAATAAAATGAAATGGAAGTTTGAGTAGTGGAAAGAGAGAAACGTGTGAGCTGGTGGGTGACCAAAAATCAAACAAATTGCTGAAGCTATTGATTTCTGACTACACTTACCACGGTGCACCATGAGGCACTGCTCCAGGAGGAGCCTGGCCAGCGCCACCTTGCACTCGTGCAGATCCATCAGTTGGTTCTCCGCTCGCTCGATGGCCGCGTACAGTTTGCAGCGCTCCTCGATTAGCTCGCAATCGATCAAGGACGTGGTGAAGGCCCAGAACCACTCCAGTTTCTGGGATTCCCCGCAATGCGGACACAGGATCAGCTCGGCACCATTGCACTCCGGCTGGGTGTACTCCTCCGAGAGCCACCAACGGAGGTTTGGGGCATGCGGCAAAGCGTTGGGCGTGAAGATTTCCATGCACTTGGGGTTATCACAACGGTAGCGATGAAACTTGTGCTAAAAAGTTGGAAAACAAAAAAAATTATAAGAATTTTAAATATTTAATTATTTCTTGGAAGTACGTTTAAGAGATTTGGGGATTAACTGACTAAAATGTATTTAAAATAATTAGAAAATTGGCATTTAAATCTATATATTTAGTTAGTTTTGTAAACTACTCTGTTTTTATTGATATGATATGATTTGGATATGATTTTGATATGATTTGAATATGATTTTGAATATGATTTTGATATGACTTGAATATGATTTTGATATGATTCGGATATGATATGTTTATGATATGGATATGATATGGATATGATATGGATATGATATGGAAATGATATGGATATGATATGGATATGATATGGATGTGATATGGATATGATTTGGATATGATATGGATATGATATGATTCCATATGATATGATACGATATGATATATGATTAGTAGTAGAAAGACTAAATAATAATTTATAATAGGTATACAAAAAATTTAAATATTAAATTAAATTAAAATAATGAAAATCTTGACTTACGAACTGATCATCCTCGTGCGATAGCTGGCACTCCTTGCAATGGCACCTGATCCCCCGCTCCTGGAGCTGCTTGCTGCGCTCCTCTCGCCTCAGCTGCTGGTAGTTGCCCCCGGCAAAGCAGTTGTAGATCCCCGAGCCCGCCGGCAGATCCAACAGAGCCAACGCGGTCACCTTGCGGCCCGAAAACTTGGCGCAGATGGTGGAGGAGCAGCTGTGCCGGCACAGACTCAGCGTTTCCGGATAGACGGCGTACGAGACGACGGCCACCTCGCCGGCCAGCAGATGGAGGTGGCCCTCCTGGAGGCGCGCCGGTGCGGCCCACAGTTGGAACTCGTTGAGCGGCGAGAAGACGTGCGGATCAGCGGGCAGGACGAAGGATCGGCAGGCGGTGAGGGACCTGTGACGCAGCTGGCCAATGTGACGCATCAGCAGGGCGGCGCAGAGCAACTCCCACTCGGCACTGGACATCCGGGAGGCCGTGGGCAGGCTCTTCTCCAGCTGCTCGAAGAACACGGTGCACTTGCTCAGGTAAATGGCGAGGATGTGCGCGGAAAGGGCCAGCGCAATCACCGTATCGGTTGGTCGTCCCTCCTCCTTCAATCTCTCCAAGCGGAGCACCGAACTATAGGCGATATCCTGACGCTCCTGCAGACCACCATTAATGGCTGACCAGAGCTTGCTCAACGTCGGCTTCTTTCGGCAATGGGCCAGCATCTCGGGCAGACCGGTGATCAGCAGCCGGAAGGCCAGCTGCAGGAGTCGCGGCTGCCCGAAGACCTCGCCGAAGGACTCGAAGAGCTCGATCTGGTGGCCAAAGCACTCCACCGCATGGATGGCGGCGTGCTTAAAGCGGCACTGGCGGGAGCAGTAGACCACCAGCCGGTTGGAGCAGTAAATGCAGGGAAAGGGTATGAACTGGGTGATCCCGCAGTAGTCGCACACCCGGCAATTGCCGCTCGGCACCATGGCCACCGCCTCGGATTCGAAGATCAGGGCGTTCTTGGCCAACGCCCGTGTGGTGTGAAGGGACGATGAGTTGTCCAACCAGGCTCTAAAGGGGATGATATATTAGAATTGAGGATTTCTAGCAATTATAATGATTTCCATAAGGATTTCTCACATTTCGAAGGCCTTCGAATCGTTGGTATCCAGATCATCGCCCGTTTGCACGGCCATCTCGAACCGCTCCACCTTGAGCACCTCGCACTGGTGCCACAGCTCGTGGGTCCTCGCTTCGAACACCTGGTTCAGTTCAATGTGCAGGAGCTCGTGCAGATGCTCCTCGCAGAGCGCAAAGTTGCGCAATTTTAAGGCACAGGCGGCTTGGCGCAGCTTAATCAACGGCAAATACTCCTCCGGATAGCCGAGGTCCAGGGCGCACAGGCAGTCGTCGTAGGATTCCTGTTAGGGATCATAAGAAACTTTATTATAAAGATATTTAGGTATTTAACTCTACAAGATATTTCTTAATTTTTAAAAAAAAAATTATATTATTTAAATATAAAATTAAGAGATTGGTTTATAATGTAACCTCCCTTATAAATAATACAAAATTATGCTACACTGGATTGGTATAAAATTTTATCACTCATACGCACTGTTGCTTTCGATCAAAAATATATTTTAATCTAGGTTAAATTCGTTATTTGACTAGGTTAAAAATGATGAAGCTATTTTTTGATTATTTAAATGGAAATCTAAAAGGTTATAATACTTTTTTTTTGGTTTTCGAATAGGATTTTACTTATATAACCTAACCACCCTAATATACATTCACAATAATATCAAAGGTTAAATAATGTAAATTTAATACTTAAAAGGGATTTGAAAGAGTTAACAAGGAATCTAATATGATAGATGATGTTAGGAATGATAAAACAGTTACGTATTCTACTTTACTTTAAATTTATCATATAGTTAGATATAGAAACTGGTATTTCTATCAACTAGATATTAATTCCAGATAGTTAGGAGGCTTTAGGAGACAGATCTTCTTACCGCATAAAGGCCGCAATCGAAGAGGACTAGGGATCGATTGGCGTGGGCCAGGGCAGCGGCCAGGGTGTTCCGGCAGGGGGCCAGGAAGATGGCCTCCGTGAAGAGATCGCTGGCCTTGAGCGGATGCCGCTCCTTGCGGTACGAATCGTTGCCAGCCTCCCGCAGGCGACGCGACTCCTCCTCCGACTTGAAGTGGCCCGTCTGGTGGCGCAGATGTTGAAACCATTTGAGTACGTGTGGCCTGTGCTTTCGGATTGGCAAAAGAAGAGGGGAAAACCCGGAGTGGGTGGTTGGTTAATTATTCACGGCAAATGTCAAAACGAATTTGACCCAAATTCCGAGTTCGAAGCAAACAATGCTCCTTAACCTAAACGTACGAATGCATGCAATCGCTTGGGGTCACACTGGTTTACCGGCTTACAATCTTGTAACAAATGGAAAAATTATTCTTTTGTAATATATAAAATTGATATTAACTGTACATAATTTTCTAAATTTTTCCTATGACATAAGTAAATTTTTCAACTATTAATAGTATAAATATTTGTATAATTTTTTCAACGCCTAAAATTTGTAAATATAGCCCACTGTGCTGGGGTGCAAAATCACCTCCCACAAATTAAATTAATTTCATCGGGTAATTATGGATTTGCATAATAGCTTGAAAGGCCGCCCCTAGCACTTAACCCATATTAGGCCCACTGGTCGACAAAGCGACCATGCGTTTTGAATATGTTTGGAATATGTTGGGCAATCAAGTTTGGGGGTGGTATGTAAAATTAAAGTAAACATTGGGTAAACACAAAAAATGAAACAGAACAAACTTGGTTATAAAAATATATAAACCATAAAAACTCTGTGTAGTATTAACAGAAAATAAACATGTATTTATAATAAGTTAAAAAACTAAATATGACGTTAAAAATTTAAACGAAACCAATTTAAGTTTATAATATACCGTGGTTTCAATATTTGACAATCTCTGAATTTTCTTGTTAACTATAAAATTTTTAGAACCCCTCTTGCTTTCTCCTAAATATCTTTATAATCTGTTTTAAGCCACCTAATATGGGTTAATAACCACAATCGTGACCGCCATCGTTTTGTTCACCTAAAATCCAGCAGCGGCTCCTTGGTCGTGGTGGTTGGGGACGAAATCCCCAGGCCGCCCACCGCCCCAATCAGATCGTCATCGTCCTCGGCGTTTTCGGGACGGGAAAGTGGCGCCGCCGAGGTGCTGGCCCCCAGTTCGACATCCTCCAGGTCGCGGCTCAGTTTCTGGCGCTGCACGGGGGTCAGCAGGAGGAGCAGCTGCAGTTCGTCCTTGTGGAGCAGCTCATCGGGATTCAGATGCTTCAGCTGCTGGCCAATCAGGTCGCTTAGGGTCACAGCTGCTGGCGGAGTTGGATTCGCAGAAGGAGCTGCTGCGGAGGAACCGGAAGCGGAAACGGGAGCGGACGAGGAGGAGGAAACTGGCGCGGCGGCGGTGGCTGCTTTGTTGTTCACACGCGCAGAGGATGTGGAGGAGGCCATCACTCGGTGACTGGTTGGTTGGTGGTGGTGGTGGTGCTGCTGCTTTTGGCTCGCTTTTTTTCTGATCTCGCGCACTCCTTTTTGGGCCCTTCAGTTGGCCATCTTGTGTCACTGCCGCGGCGGCAGTCCTGGCGAATTATTGGCTATCAATTCGAGTGCACAACGCCCCGACATCATTGACTAATAACGCTGGCTAAACTTTCACGAACTCCCGCACGTTGTGGCCTTCATATTGATTTTTTAAAACATCGCCTTCTGGTTCCAGCGATGTGGCAGTCGTAACGGTCTATCGCTTATAGGGATGGACTTTCGGAGTTACCGTTATTTTTGGAGATGTTAAAACAATAATATTTATATGTTTAATCAATATCATAAAATCATCATAATATAAATAAGTAATATAAAAAAATAAATAAAGAAATTTATAAATAAACTTTCATTGATAACAAAACTTAGTATATTTTATTTCAACTTTTTTCATTCATCTGGCAACGCTGCGAAAAGCGCCAAGTTCTAACTAGTGGCGAGGGCTTTTTCCATTCATATGCTTATCTACCGGCCTGGTAAGCCTTCTCTCAAAAAGCAAACATGTCCCGTTGGTTGTCTAACCGCACGTTACCATCATTGAACGGACCGTGTGCTATATTCACAGTTGACAGACCCTGCTGATAAGAATGGGCATCTTGCTTCTCTTTTCCTTCGCCTTTGCACACAGAAAAATTTTAATGAAAATATGAGTATGATTGTATCAAGTTCCTAATAAAATTTTTATAATTTATAACTAATATTTAAGATCAATATGGTAACTTTAAATATATATTTTAACATTTTTAATGTCATAATTTTAGGTTTTATTTTCTTTGTGATAAAATTGAAAATTTTAAGAAAATATTTATATATACGAAATATGCTTAATTTTAGGTCAAAAAGTTTAAGGAATTTGCTGTATATATTTCAAATTATTTGAATAGGTCAAAAATTATCTAGTAATTATAGTTTGAGAGATGATATTTTTTGTAAGTGATATAAAAATATTATCTTTAAATTCTTGTAATTTTTTCTCTGAGTGTACCTTTTGTTTTTGCTTTGCTTACCTTCCAGATTGATCCACCTCATCTCCCGCTCGAAGAACAAACACATGCATTGCACTCGGCTCTCTCCGATCTGAAAGTTGTAAGTTTAATCGGGCTTATCTGCTATTTGCTCGGATCTTATCACCCACAGCCTCTGGAGCAGTGGAGCATATGGGATCGCAAGTATAAGAAACACTTGTCGGTCGCATCTTGTTGTAACGTGTGCTGCGTGTGTGTGTCTTTAATTGTTAAAGAAAAAGTCAAAAAATAATATTAAGAAAATAATGTCCAAGAACGAGGATACACCGATTGCCAAGTAAGTTTCGAGGAGGAGGTTTATCGTCTGACTTCCTCACAAAAGTTTCAGCAGTGCAAAAAGTTGGCCGAAAATGAAATCTCTTTCGGGCCGAAATTAACATAAAGCGCCCAAATGAGCTGCTGATTTGTTAAATAGGCGTAAGAGCGGACCGCGTGGGACCAACGACAACTGACGTTTTCTCGGGGTCTTGGGATTTTCTAGGTGCTCGGAGGAGGCCTCGAAAAAAGTTGGATAGCAAAGCTTAATGTGGGAGGGAGCTAACGTATTTTCCTATATTTTTTTTCACCCCGTATTTTTCTCCTTTTGTGCAATTGCGTTGGAAAGTTGCAGAGCAAGTAGTTTAGCGCCATTTGCACTTTTCGTAGTAAAAATTACGCGCACTTGCTCAGGCACACCCACACATGTGAGAAACTTATCAACGGGCACATCACACACACACACACACACGTGCTGAAGGCGGAGTGGGCGTGGCCTTTAAGTAGTCATCGTAGTTTGCGTTAAGTAACAAAACTTCAAATTGAATTTTTCGCAGCACTTTTCATTTTAGCACCTATCAAAAAAACCCTTTTCGAGCGTTTCGCCTCGCTTTCCGAAGCATCAGCTCATTACAGTGGGAACTGCCTGCTGATGGACGGTTTTCAGTGGGGTTTTTGGGGGCCCAATGGCCCACTATACATTGTGTCTGCTTAAATGCCGCAGTGTTTTGTTGGCACCGGCAACGCGCTACGTTTTAATTCTCTGCTGGGGTTTTTCCACTTTTTCGAGTTGAAGTTTCCCCCAAAAAACTTTTCCTGCTGCGGCTGCATTTACTTCTCATTCTTTTCGAGCTCTTTTACTTGTTTACCGTGGAAAACAAGTACATTTCTATAGAAACTTCTCTAAGAAAAAGCCAACAAATGGCACTTTTTAATTAAAGAATTAGTTGTGAAATAGCTTAAATTGTTTTCGGTTCATGCCTGACTTGGATTGTGGGGAAGGAAAAATAAAAGTATAAAAAGTATGTTTTAATAAATAAAATAATAAATATTTATTATTATTTATAAAATAATTTATTTATTTTTTTACTTATTGCATTATTTATAATATTTTGATGAATGCCTATCAAGTTAAAAAAGAATTATTTTTTAACAAAATATCTTAAACTTAATAACGGTTGTAAAAAGTTTATTAAAATATGTTTGTATATTTTTTTATTTGATTGTATTAATAACAATTGTTTATATTAAAAAAAAAATAGACATCGTAATATAGCCTTCGTGAATGTTTTTTAAATTTTGCAACAGATAGCGTACGCGCCATTCCATCATAGGATCTCCAGCGCCACCTGGAGGAAAGTACAGAAACTAAATATTTCAGTTCATTCCATTTTTGTTTTCTTCTTAGCAATTTTAAAATATTTCATTAAGTTGTTTTGTGATTTCTCAATGGTTTTGTGGAGGATCGTGACAATTCCATGGACTAAACTCCTTTGTTTTCCCGCAGGCGCAACTCGGGTCGTACGCGACGGAGCAACTATGGCACGGCTCCCTCGTTCCACCTGCTGGAGCAGGGACAACCAGGTGGCAACGGATCCATTGGCAATGGCAACAACAATCACCCGGCAACGCCCTCAACACCTGCGCAAATTTTTTGTTTACACGGGCGCTCCAACAACGTCGAAGGTGAGTTTACCGGGGGGTTTAAAGGGGGTTTTAAGGGGGGTTCGAAAGGGGTAAGGTGACAAGGTGACTGTGACAAACTGCGGGGCACTTTCGTGTCGCTTTCAATCAGGGCGGACTACCTCGCAGCAATTTGCAGTCATTCATAAATTATCAAGAAAACGCAGCAGGCAGCGGCATTTTGCACTAAAAGTCAAATGCAAACAAATCAAAATCGACAACTACGACGAGAATCAACCAAATTAGTTTTCACATTGTTATTTTCGTGCTTTTGCTATATGTATGACGACTCTGTTTGATTGTTCTTAAGCGCTGTTTGTTTGTTTTCCTGGTTTTACTGTATTTTCTGTATTTTTTTTTGTGTTGAAAAAATCGAAAATTCTGTGCAATTTACGTTTATACATTCCAATGTCTGGGTGACTGAGGAGCTGTAATATCGGGTAAACGCTCGCTAATTGGCAGACGGCACGGAAATCGTCGGAAATGAATGATGCCCGGCTCTTGGCGACTCCGCTGGATAAATGCCGCTTGGAAATGCTGCACGAATATGGTGAGCAAACAACTTACCACCTACTCGAAAGCCTTATTTCCACCCACAATTCGCAAGCCCCTCTGTCATCAATCAGCTGATGATGATTCTCGAGGTTGGCAAACCAAATTATGGTGGAACTGGGCCGGTCTCCACCCACAACATCTGTGGTATAATCAAAATTTATGCTCTTTGCTGACACACCGCATCCCAATCCCCCACTTTCGGCCATATGTCATGAATCGCCAGAGGAGCCAGTAGTGTAACGCTCGCCATAATTTACGTACGACAGCCTCGGTGGACCAAATAAATGTTTGGATCATTTTTTCATACTACCCCCCACCAGTGGAGAATAAGTCTGGTTCGTAGGGTCAGAAGCCGAGAAATCGATGTGGCAATGCCAAGTTTATATTTTAATTTCCTCTGCGGAGTCTGCTAGGTGCTACATTTTTTACATTTGGCAAATACCCTATAAAAATAGTTCAGAATGAAGGGTTATTATTAGGACTGCCAGCTTAGCTTACAGATTTGGAAAATAGCATAGGGCACAAATAACTATTATTATTATATTATTATTAAAATATTTATTATTATTGTTTCTTTTGGTTTCAAACTTCCCCGATTTTTATGCATTTTGTAGACATAAGTAAATATTGCTTAAATTGTTTTCCAAATTTACAGAGAATAACAGAGATTAAATCTTTTTAGTGAGTGATTGTTTTTTTTTACTCCACTGTAATTTTTGTGGGTTTTTTCAGCATTTATAAAAAACTATACAGTAAAGGGCAACCTTTAGTCGTTAGTCCCATAAATAATCCCTAGTTATTTCTCCTTTTTTGGTGATGATTCGATTTATTGGCAGACGAGCAGCGAGCTTCTGCCGAAATGAAATTAACTGGCGTCTAGACGAGGTGGATCCGCTTCTGGGAGCCTCAGCTTCTGTCGTATATTGGCACACACCGGCACATAGAGAGATAGTTATATATTATGCAATCGTCTTGGGGCCTCCGCTCGGTGCATTCAATCATAGCCTGAGTTACTAACTCCCATTAGATGGCTTGACTAGCCAAGTGCATTTCGTTGCAGCTGCTTTGATTTGCGCCGGCCCGTAGTTAGTCGTTCGTTAAACGCGCTCCAGATGGGACCATTTGCAAATGCTGCAATACGAATACGAATTCGAATACTAAGCAGTGCGAATAGGTATAGATATAGGTCTGAGTTCATTGTTCCCTCGGGTGGACCAAACCTCCTCATTGTTATCGCCGCGTGCTCCGGTTTTCGGATTTCGGATTTCGGTTTCCGGGTTATGGATGTGCTCAAGCTCAGGGAGGCGGAACTAAGCAATGGTAACTTGCTAATTAGGATGAAAGACGATATGACGGTGATTCATATATGTATTTGTGCAGTTATTATTAACATAATAAGCGTATTATCTTAATGCCTTATGGTAACTTCTAAAACTAAAGTCAAACTCGGAATTTAATGTGGGGGAACGTAAATTTCGTGTGAAATTATATTAAGTTGAGGTATTTTGTGTTACACCTTTAATCAGTTTCATGTTTTAAATTTTATGGAATATTTTGAGTAACAACCATATGACAACCATATTATTCGTATTTTTAAAAGACTAGGGGGAAGTATATTTTTAAAGAAATATTTCTCTTCCAGTTAGTTTAAAATTTAATTGTTTATTTAGCAAAGGGAATTTTATTTATAATTACAAGGGTTATATTACTATTTAGGGGATATTTATATTATTTTGTTACTAAAATATTAATTGTAAAATCATTTTAATTTTTTTAAAGTTGATTCATGTATGTAAGAATTGTTAACAATAATGGTCTCTATTACATCTTTAATAACTGTTTATGGTATGATATTTTTAAGAAAATATGTATGAAATTTTTATATAGTATATCTTAATATTTACAGTATTCCATTTATTTCTTCACGTGTAATTCTGCCGCAATTAGAGAGTATATTTGTGTTTCCACAGCCAACGGCTTGTTGGATCATCTTTAGATGTCGGTTGACGAACATTCTTGGCACCTGTCGAGTTATTGTCATTGATATATATTTGCACATAATGGAATGCCTTTTGTCGCGTATTTATTTCTATCCAATTAATGCTTGTGCGCGCCTTGACTTCGCCCTTCGCCCTGGCTCCATTAATTATTTATAAGTACAAGTACACAGTACAATTGTTGCCATGGCAGAATCAGAATCAGAGTCAGAACCAGATATGGATGTGAAGAAGGAGGAGAAGAAAGAGCACATATCCAGCATCCAGTATCCGACATTAACCTCAGTTCCCCGGGAGTCCAACATACTTTCCGCATTGCGCAAACAAACAAGGCGAACGGAACGGTCCAAGGCGACCAATTAAAGATGCAGATGGATCGGAGTTGTTTAAATTGCAAGTATGACGATTCTTATGCATCAGCTGGTGGCAGAGGAGGCTGCAGAGGTCGGAGCTCTGGATACGGGTCTAATAGGTGAAATTTCCACGTGCCACAATCGTCGTTCGACGCAGTTGCAGTTGCAGTGGCACCAGTAGTCGCTCCTCCTTGGTTATGCACAGGAATTTAATTTGGCTGCCGGCAATGTTACTGCCATTGTGTGAGTGCCACCGACCAGCATGTGGAGATGGGGGATTGGGATGCAAAGGATGTGGAGGCTGGAGGATGTGGAGGATCAGGAGCAGGAAGCAGACGCAGGCCAGGCGTCGGTGGCCTTGTGCTGGATTCAAATGAAGAAACCGCGTTCGCAACGCCGTCGTGTCAGAGATGAGAGGCTCCACATGCTGGGTGACATGCTCGGAAAACCATAAATTAACAAAAAATAATGGATAAATTAATAGGAGGGTTTAATGGGTGATATATGCCAATATAAACTACCGAGGGATTTTTCTGAATATTCTTTAAGAGAGGTAGAAAAAATACAAGATTCAAAGCTTTCAAACTAATTTAATTAATATATTTTTTGGCATTTAAATGTATACCTATTGGTTACTTCTTCTATTCTGAAATTACTGCCAATATTTTTATTTATAAACGTAGAAAATGTCACACTTTTTAATTTTGCCTACAAAGAATATTAAAATTAGTGGAATACGGAATAGAAATAAAACATTTTTAACTACACAGTGCATAAAAAATCAAAAAAAGTGTAGAATTCAATATCAAAATTTCTGATACTTACGGTTCCCGCATTTTATAATGATTTTATTTTCTGTACTTATCTGAAACTTATCTTCAAGATTACAAAATAGGGCTTAATTAATGTCATTCAAATTAATAGAATCACGGGCTCACCTCTATGGCATCCACTTGGTCCACAGCCAAACCAGCGGAGCATATGCACATGTATGTTCGTTGCTCCTGTAGATTTTCCCGCTCCGGACAATGGAAAGCTGCACGGCGAGGAAAGGAAAATTCGAGGAGGAGATGGGGGAGTGGGTGGGCGACCAGAAGCAAGTGCAAAGAAAATGCAGCGGAAATGACAAAGCATGAAATACGGCTGCGACAAATGCAATAAAGTATTTAATAGACTGCTCCTAGCCGACCAAGAGCAACCAGCCAGCCAACCAAACCAAGCCAAGCAACTACCAACTACCAACTTTCGCCTGCCACTGACACCCAAAATGAATAAAGCCAGAAAAAAGAAAGGACCATAAAAAACAAGCGGAGAAACTCCCGGAAATGGGCCACACACCGTATCCATATGGGAGGGGCGTGGCAGGCAAAAGTACCAGGATCAGGAGCTGCGATGGTGGTCATTATTCACGTACCATGTTAAATAAATTTAAATGCCTGTTTTGTAAATATGTATTGCATGCTTGGCGGCATAACAGATGGGCGAAGGGAAAACTTATTCCCCCAAAGGGAATCCCATGCAGTGGCACTGGCACATTGTTAATTTAATACTTTTGCAAAAAAATAAAAAGAAGCAAAAACAACAGGGTTTATAGTCTTAAGCGGGACTTAAGAGCATCATGAAATGTATTCAAGCAACGCGTATGTTGAGAACTTATGTTAACAATAACGAATAATTGAGCGAAATGGAAAGTAAGCAAAAATTGTAAGAAAACCGCTTTGTCCTTGTTATTCATTATTGTTTAATTTGCAGCCATACAATCTGTAAATCCAATTAGAGGAAAAATATTTATTGTAATTCACTACGTATATAAATATAAATAAAAATGATACCCTGTAATATAATAAATTAAAAAAGTGGTACTAAAAGCATTTTCATTGGCTAAATCAGAAACATCAAACAATCATTAATGTATTTTCAGTATAACTGCATTTAATGATTATTTTATTTTTGTTAATTATTTTTATTTACACATTTGATACTAATGACATTATTTTTTTTACTTTCAGTCCGGGATCATTGTCATCGTGCTCGAAGTGAGGGAGTGGACGTGAAGGCGCGGCGAAAACTGATCATAGCCAGCATTTTGTGTTTGGTTTTCATGATTGCGGAAATCGTGGGTGAGTCCAGTTAATATTCATAGAAGGGCAACATCCGCTATTATGTCCTCGCGTTCAGAGTTCATCGCTACAAAGGACTCTTTCTCGTTTAATTCCTTTCTTTTTTTTTGCAATTTTTATTCTTTTCTGTCTGCCTCTCAATTCCCAAACTAATTTTGCTCACCTCTGAGAATCTGAGCCAACAAATAAACAAAACGTAAAGAGTGCAGAGCGAAGGAAAAAAATGAAAAGGGCGAAAAAAGTAAAGTCAAACAATGCGGGGAGCAGGGAATAAGGAAAAAGGACACGGAGACGACGACGACGACGACGAGACGATTAAAAACTGAGGACCGGAAGTGCAACAATATGGCGACCGGAAGGGCTTACTGTCTGCCGTCAACCCATCCCCATCCCTCTCCTCCGTTTATGACATTGTGGGGGTGGCACCGGGGTTGGTTATACAATAAACATTTAATTTTCGAGTGGCGACGATGTCGTCGGGGCTTCGACGGCTGTTGCCGTTAATCGCTTTGCAATTACCTACAATGTTCGGTCGGGAAAAAGGACGAAGGACGAAGGACTGAGTACCAGGAGGCTACCAATTCCCAGTTCCCAGGAAAGGATTTTATTTTTGCGCCCCTCGCTTTGCACTTTTCTTTCGCTTTCAAATCGAAATGCTTGATAATGGAATGTAGACTCCTCCCTTTTAATGTTTTCCCGACTAAAGCCGGGGGGGACTGTCACCCCAATCAACATCCACAAGTCCCACAGATTGCCGAGTTAATTTTTTGCACATTTATTTACTTTCTCCCCGACCTGCAAAAACAGGTGGCGTCCTATCGAACAGTCTGGCCATCGCAACAGACGCCGCACATTTGCTCACCGATTTCGCCAGTTTTATGATCTCGTTGTTTGCCATCTGGATTGCCGGACGCCCATCTACGCAGCGGTAAGTACTTCCCATCTCCCCATCGCACCGATCCAAATGAAGACACTACTACCACTGCCAAAAGTCCTTGGGTAGGGAAATCAATAAAACGTAAAGTTTCAATCTTTTCCGCATTTCTTTTTGTCACTGGTGTGCTGCCAACTCCTTGGCGAGATGGTTCGTGTGCGCCCTCCTTTATCACCGAACCGGGTGACTTGAGGCCCTGCTCGGGGAAATAACATAAAACTATTCTTTAAATATCCTAAATGGGAGTGGGGTATAAACATTTTAGAAAGACTCCAAGAATATATTAAAATACTTTCTAAAAATCTTCTTCTGAGTAAAAAAAGAAAGGACAGAAAAAAATAGATACGAAATTTGTTTAACCTTTTTAAATTGTTTATTTTTTAAATTGGATAACTTAGTCTTGTTGCTAGAGATCCATTTTTCCCTCAAACAAGAAAATAAATGTATTTTAGGTCCGATTAAAATTTCACAAGATTTTTAAATTTTCTTTAAAATGATAAAAAAAAATAAGGATTTTTTAAAATATTTATTGTTGCTAGAGAATGTATTCTCTAGAACGAAATGAATTTAAATATAATTTTTAGGGCATAGCACATCTTAAGAACGGTGGCCTCCTTCTAACGAGTGTATCTGCATTGCCCTGCAATTTATATTCCACTCTTATATGGCTGCTCTTCCACCATAATTTCTGTCGCTCGACTTGGCTATTTTCCATATCCTCCGCTGCCGCTGCTTGCATTTCCCATTCGCCATCGTCTAATTAGGCGAAAAGCCTGTTTCCAAATTTTCAGTGCCTTCCTCCAGCGTCTGTGGCCGCTGTTGTTGCTATTCCTATATTTCTGACAGTGCTGTCGATTTGTCTTTTTTTTTTAACCAAAAATAGTAGCACTTCTTTTTTGACCGCGTCTGTATGAATATGAAATGTCATTCTTTCGTTTATAACTCCGTTAAAAAAAAACATAAAATTATTTGTAAATTAAGGTTGAAAAGATAAGGAGTTGCACTTTTAAAACACAGAATCAGTTCGCCGTTAACTGCCTTATATATATTGCCGAAACAGAATTTTTAGTAGTTCTTCAAAAAAATCACTTTAAAATCATAAAATACCTATTATTTTTATTGCGATTTAATTTTTTAGTAAAATATTTGGTTTTTTTATGTGGCGTCGACAGCACTGTTGGCTGCTGTTGATGCTGCGCACTGTACATTCGGCCGTTGCACATTTTTCAATTGGTCTTTGGGAGCATTCCCCTCTCTGTCTCTGCCCCTGCCAAAGGATCCCCCCTCCCCAACCCCCTCACATTCCACACACAGCATCCATCTTGGGCTCAACTAGAAAAGGAGGGAGGCAAACGGCACGTTCTGCTCATTCATGCAAAAATCTCACTCACTCGACGACTCGACTGCAGCCACAAAGTGAATAATGAAAAACTTTTGCAATTTCAAGCGTGTTGCATGGTAATTTTGTAAATTTCGCTCATGCCACCAGGACTCTCAGGCTTCTGCTCCTTCGTCTCCTGTGCGTTGATGTTGCCTCTGTTTCTGTTGCTGTTGTTTCTGTTCCAGTGGCTCTGGTTGCTGCATGTTGCTGCTGTTGCTGTTGCTGCTGCATGTTGCAGCAGTCCCAGTCTCAGCCTGGCTGAATGCTTCTCTCTTTGGGCCTGGTCCTTTTGGACGGGTTTGGTTTCAGTGCGGTTCGCAGCCTTCTACCTTATTTTTGGCTCCAGATCCCGCTTTTCCATCCCCCTTTTCCACCCACAAACCACCCATTTTGGCGCTCGAGCCCGGCGTTGCCGAGTTGACAAGCCTAATTTATCAAAACAAAACACATTTGCACAATTGCAAAGGCAAACGCAGAAAACGAAATGCAAAAGCGGAGGGAAAACTAAGCACGGTACAGTGGAAATGATTCAATTATAACCTGGGGTATTTTACGTGATAACGAATGATGCAAATTAGATCCCTAATTAATCCTCAACTTCTTTTGAGTACTTCAATTTTGGGGGGTTTTGGTAATTAGCCCCTAACTATACGAACCACTCGTTCTAAATACCTGAAATACCTTTTTAGCTATACCCATAATTTTAAAATATTTATTATTTACTTTCGCAAAAATTTTATAGATTTTTGTTCAACTTAAAAAATGTTAGTTAATATTAATATATCATTGGTTAATTAATTAAATAGTTTTCTCTATTAAAAATATTTGTAGCTGACTAAATATTATCGACATAAATATAAATACATAAATATTAACAAATCGAATTTATGACAAACACTCGAAAGACAAAATCGGAAATCAGGATAGTTGAATGGGATTATTTAATAGTAATTAACTTATTATAATTCTTTTGAGAATAAATTTTGTGCTAGATTTTTCTTTGTACTTAAATCTTCCTAAATAAATCTAAAAATTTGGTTTTTATAATAAGATAGTAATTAAGCTTTGACTTTATTTAATTTTGTTGCCTGCCAAAAAGTTAGTTTGCCATAGAGCACACTACCGTATTTCATTATCGCTAATCCCAATTAAGTGTTTTGGCTACTTTCTTTTAATTATCGCTCCCGGTCCCATAGTGCCCGGAACCGGCATTGAGGTAGCGATGTAGCTGCTCCTCCGCTGGGGATAGAAAGGGATGGAGGGCCGAAGGACGAGGGGGTGGGCCGCCAGCAGCAGGCGGTCATTAAGCAAATGGCTGCACTTGCAACGCCAACTGCAAGGCCCCAACTTGCGTATATATATATTCGTATTTGTATATACACATATAGAAAGCTCCGCCATACATTGAGGGGTTTTCAGGGGGTCTTTATAGGGTTTCGGGGAGTGGAGGATACGACGGATGTTTGCTGGAAATTAAATTGTATTATTATGGCGAGACATTCGTTGCTGTAGCTGCCGGCTGCCTCCTGGCATCGCATTAGTTAGCAGGCTGGCAAAATTGTTGCCTTTTGCCATTATTTCAATTTTATAACGAGAGTGGTAGTCAAACCCCCCCTTCCTCCTTTTCCCACCTGTCGTTCGGTTACTGGTTGGTCCTGGTTTCTGTTTCTGGCTCGTTCCGATGTGGCTTGGCTTGTTTTCTGGTCTGGGTTGGGCTTTAATTGAACGACCCTCGACTTGGTCGCCGCCGCCACCGTTCAGGTGTTGACTTTGACCCAACAAAAAAGCAAAAAAATAAAATGAAATAAAATAATACACGAAAAATAAGCAGAGGGGCGCACATGCAAAACGCTCATTACATTAGGGAAAAACGGTAACACACACCCCACACTTTTTCGAGAACCCCCCGAAAATTATCATCCGGGGGCGAGACGAACCGCGCCCCCAAAACGAACTCAAATTAAAATAGCATTTGACAAATTTTGGTCACATTTATCAACTCATGTTAATTTTTAACTACCCCACACACTTTCCACCGCTCTTCATGTCATCAGCAATTTGTGTTTCCTTTTGCGGCCGAGAAGTTCAGCTTTTGACATCCCCTTTTGCCCTTGGGGTTTTATAAAGCATATATCATTTTATTGAAGGCGACTTATTAGGGTAATTTAAAATTATGCTTTGTTAAGAAAATAAATAATTTAACTTTGAGTCGGATAAAATAAATAATTTCAACTGCCTGAGAATATAGCTTAAAATTATCGACAGTTTCTTATTTTTTTATATTTATACCCTTGCAGAGGGTATTATGATTTCAGTCAGAAGTTTGCAACGCAGTGAAGGAGACGTTTCCGACCCCATAAAGTATATATATTCTTGATCAGCATCACAAGACGAGTCGATCTAGCCATGTCCGTCTGTCCGTCCGTCTGTCCGTCTGTCCGTCTGTCCGTCTGTCCGTCTGTCCGTCTGTCTGTTTCTACGCAAACTAGTCTCTCAGTTTTTGAGCTATCGGGACAAAACTTTCGCAAAAGTCTTCTTTCTATTGCAGGTAGTATATATGTCGGAGCCGACCGGATCGGACAACTATATCTTATAGCTCCCATAGGAACAATCGGAAAAAAAAAACTTTAAAAAATTCTAGCTTCGGTGTTTTTTGAAATATTACCTTCTACTTTTGGGGATGTTATTTTTTAAATATTTCTGAATTTCGAATTAATTATTTAAAAAATCGGACTACTATATCATATAGCTGCCATAGGAACGATCGGAAAATTAATGGAAAAGTAATAGGAAATAAATTCTAGCTTCTTTGGTTTTTATTGTATTATCTTCTACTCTGGGATATGACTCTTTTTAAATATTTCCGAATTTCAATTTTAATTTGATCAAAATCGGACGACTATCACTATGGACGGCAGTCCATGTAGTGACGAAGCGCACCAGGAGAGTGTGCGAAGGCGACTACTATTATATAGCCGCAAAATTGAAAATCTGCTGTGATAGTCCGATCGTAATGAGTAATACACCAATCGAAAGGTATTGCAAAAACTTAAAGGATTGCATACCAAGACTTTAAGAAAATCAATTGGCTTGGGGGAGAGAGCGGTGAAAGTGAAAAAGTGAAAATTTCGAAATTTGGAGCTGTTGGGGCCGGTGGGGATAAATGCCCCCTCGCAATGTTTTAGTTGTATTCCTTTTGAAAATACCCGTCGAATGAGGGGTCATTTGTCGAAATCCGACGCTCCGTTCAAAAGTTATAGCCAAAATAAGATTTTCTTCTTCTTCCCAAAATGAAATTTTAATTCTGTTTGTCCACTTGTCCACTTGTCCACTTGTCCAAAATATGTTTTTTAAGTTCTGAAAATTTGATATGACGTTCATCACATCGATATAAAAAACTTTTGTTCTACCACTTTTGGAAAAACCCGCTAGTTTAGCGGGAAAACAGCTATAAATAGCTAAAATTCGGAAAGCCGTAACTTCTATACTACTAAAGCTACAGACTTGTGCTGCATCTCGTTTGAAAGGTATTTTTAAATTCTATAAACGCCTTGTAAATGCAATTTGTGTAAATGTAATAGTTAAAAAGATATGAACAAAAGAAAATTTGTTTAAACTTTTTTTTAGCTTTTTTTATTTTTCTAAAAACGGCTCTAACGATTTTTCTTACTTTAAACTGTATAGCCCTTGAGATTCCTTAAATTTTGGTATATAACACATTACTGTAAAAAGTCACGTTTAAAAGTTATTTTTATACGAAAATAGACACTTTTGCCAGCTCGAACAATTAACGCTCCCTGAGTATTGAATTTTGTGGGAGGGTATCCGAACTGTATTTTAGGGTCATGGAATCAGTAAATTTGCACTTAAGAGTTCCATATAGGAATCTTTTGTTCTACGACTTTTGGAAAAAGCCGCTACTTTAGCGGGAAAAAAGCTAAAAATGGCTAAATTTCGTTAGTTTTTAAGTTCTACACTATTAAAGGTACAGACATGTGCTATACCTCGTTTAAAAGGTATTTTGAAATACTTCAACGCCTTTTTAACTTAATTCGTTAAAATACAATTGTTTAAAAATTATGATTGAATAATTTAAATTTAAATGTTTACATTAGCACCTATGAGAGCAAAAGTAAACAAACAAAAACTTCTGATATCAAATAAAAACACCTCTAAACGAGGTAAAAAACTAGTGACGATCGCACCTTCAACGTACAAAAGTTCTGATATCAACTTTTGTGACGAAAAATGATTTTAGATGCGACTAAATAAGTACGTTACCTAAAATTTATTCATTCGGCACGCTACAACAAAAAACTTTCGTGTAGATATTAAATATTTGCTAAAGCGGGCCGAATGAATACATTTTAGGTAACGTACTTATTTAGTCGCATCTAAAATCATTTTTCGTCACAAAAGTTGATATCAGAACTTTTGTACGTTGAAGGTGCGATCGTCACTAGTTTTTTACCTCGTTTAGAGGTGTTTTTATTTGATATCATATAGCTGCCTTAGGAACGATCGGAAAATTAATGAGAAATATTAGAAAATTGAACATTTTTGCGATTTGTTAATTAATAGGAATGATCTGCAAGGGTATATAAGCTTCGGCTGGCCGAAGCTAGCTTCCTTTCTTGTTTTATTTCTTTTCAAAACATCGATATTGTCAAAATATTGTTTTGTTTTATATCTTTTCAATTTGAGTTAAATTAAAGCGAATTAAACAGCTTTATTAAGTTTGTTTAGATAACTATTTTTCAAGCAGCATTTTTATAATGATAACTTTTTCATTATAATTTAATGGAATATTTTCTGCTGGCTACTTAAAACACTGAAATTATGCGCGTACATAATTGCAATAATTTTATGCATATAATGCATAGTTTGTTAGTTGGCCAAGTTATTCAAACGGCCAAACTAACAAAGTTTTGGCCAACGTTATCGTGTGGCAAGTGTTTTCACTTCTTCCCATCGTAGCAGCCCCATTATTATCTTGACCTGCCTTTACATTAATTAAGCTCACTCTTACTGCCCTTTATCTTTGACAGGATGTCCTTCGGCTGGTATCGGGCCGAGGTTATTGGCGCCATGGCCTCCGTCTTCATGATCTGGGTCATCACGGGCATCTTAGTTTGGCTGGCCATTGGACGACTCATTAGCGGCGACTATGAGGTGAATGCCAAGATCATGCTGATCACCTCGGGACTGGCCATTTTGGTGAATGTCATGTGAGTATATTATTAATTATGGGATATTTTATATGAGATATTTGTATATCGTTTGATTATATCGATAATATCGATTGTGTCTTCTATAGCCAAAACTAAAATATCGTTTGATTATATCAATAAAATTTTAAAGCTCTATAAAATTATTTAGTTTTATATAGTTAGATTATATCGATAATATGGATTGTGGCTTCTGTAGCCAAAACTAATATATCGTTTGATTATATCGATAAAATCGATTGTAGCTTCTATAGCCAAACTATGGATTTTTTCCAAAATCCTACCCTTGATATGCAGATCTTTGATTGCCGGAATGTTGGGACTGTCGTTCATTTCTGCCCGCCCGTGCGACTGCAAAGTTTTTCCCCTGTTTTCCCCTGGGCAGCTTTCCAATTGCAATTGCCGCAATCAACTTGTCCCAGGCATGGGCCACCAAATGGGTCAACACAGTGCACTCTCCAAATGTCTCCCGATCCCAGGCCAAGAACTCCGATTCCAGGATGGCATTCCCATACGTATCCGCCAGTTGTGTTGCGGCAACTTTCTCCACATTTTAGCGACAACTTTTTCCACAAGTTTAGAATTTCTTCTCCTTCCATTTTTACCTTCTTCCCTCTCTTTATTTTTTATTTTTTGTACTTTTCCCCCGCGTCAACAAAAGCCAAAAGCGGCGTCGACGAGGAGTTTGCTGGTGTTTGTGTTGGCCAGCCCCAAAGGTGGAAAATTCACTACGCGGTATGGGGTAACGTGCCATCGAAGAGGGCTTCGATAATGCTCCAAATGGCGGCCAGTGGGGAGTCGCTTTCTCTAGCCATTGAATTTCTTTTAACTTTGTGGAAGCTAAAAATAAACCGAGGCCGACAAAGTTTAACGCTTTATTTAATTTAATTGCAATTTTTCAATTGATTTTTTTGTACACGTTTTCGGGGAAAGACCAATTGGGCCGAAGTAATGTAGGGACTCAATTTGTTGTTATTACCTACTTGTAGAAGATTCCATGTAACGTTGGTAAATTGTTCTATATTTTACACCAGAGTTTACAAATGTTTTACCCGATTTTCAAAAGAATCATTTTTAAGTGTCTAAGATCCGCATTTTCCAACTACTGACAAAGTGAGCACCTTTTTTTAGGATTTTGTGTTGGAATTAAATGTGTTTTCAATAATATTACAATTTAATTTTGTTTACATTTCCTACTCTTCTTAAGGAATATATTCAAATTTTTAATATTTTGTAATTTATTTTGTATAATCTTTTTTAAAGTTAAGTGTTTTCTGAAGGGCATTCTAAGTTCGTATAATTATTTACTAATCGCTTCGCTTGTTTTGATTTCGTCGAGTGCAAAACCTGCAGGCATCTGCCTCCCCCCTTCCCCTTAAGACCTGCCACGCCCCCTTTTCCGCCGCCGCCTCCTTTCTCTACCCCCTTCCCCCTCCTATTGATGCTCATTCATGTGGCTGTCGAAGCATAGTTTTTGGCGCATAAATCGCAACGTTCAATGCCGAGCTCACACACACGTTATGTTGGCAACTCCTCAAACCCCCCTTAACGCCCACCACCCCATGCCACGCCCACCTCAGCTCAGATCACCTCACCTCACCTATTTTCCTGCACGAGTGTTGCTGTGGCTGTTGTTTTTGTTGTCGGTAGTCGGGCGGTAGCGCAAAAATTTTCCAGTTGACGTTGGCATTTTCAGTGTTTGCCACTTGAATTGTTTGATTACGTGAATTGATTGTGAAAAACGTGCAGCAGAAGCAACTCTCCTGGCTTACAGATATGGCCAAGAAGGAGAAGAAGATGGCTGGACTTGGTGGAAATGGGCGAAATCCGGGGTGGGGGGCATGGCCATGACCATCTTTGGAAGCTGCCATAAAAGTAGGAAGTTAAGTCAAGTCAATGCTGCCCCTTACTGCTGATTTTATAGATAGAAAAAAATATTTTTTAATACAATATTTAGTAATTTTATAGAAAGTGTACTATAACTATTCTAACAAAACTTAAAAGAAAACCTTGAAAAACAGTTGGAAAAATAATATATATTTCAAAATTTATATCTAAAAAATTTATTTTAATTTTTTCTGAGTGCACCTTTGACCTGTGTTCGAACAACGGAATTAAATGGCCACCTTTTACCGTTATGCGTTTCGGGCAAACGAGTTTGCAGGCAAGTTTCAACTATTTCCAGAGTCCGGCTTGCGCTCGTTGTTATTGAAGGCTTTTTACTTAGTTTCATTTAGTTGTTGAGCACTCTCTGGATTTTATTTTTTTGCGAGTTTTTAGTTCAATTAGCACAATGCCGAAAATAGCTGCGAAGCGCTTCACACACACACACACATTTATATACTCGTACATATACGCACTGGTTTCCCGGATTCGCTTTGTGTGTGTTGTTGTTGGGTTAACTTTTGAGTGGCGGCAACGACGTCCGTCGACTTCACATCGTTAAAACGCCCATTAGGGCCAAAAGCGGGGAAAATGGAGAAACAGAACGCGAAATATACGAAGAGAGAGTGAAATCACCCAAGTACGGTAATAGAACACCCAATGAACTGCGGTTGAGGTCCCTGGTTCATTATGATTTTTTAGAATCTCATATTTTCAAATCAATATATCAACTAATGCCGATGATTATGGTGTCGAGTATTAAACCTGGAAAATTGTCGATATTTTCGATATTTTAACAATATCGATTCGATAATATCGAAAATAGCACAAATTAAATATCGATAATTTATGTTTTTTATATTTCAAGCTCTGTGAGTATGAATAATAAAGGTCAGAATATTAAGTCAAAGAACCAAAGTTCTGTAATATAATTTCGATTTTGATTTTAATTATTTTACTTTTTTCTATTTTCGAGAATATTTCCTTATATATTGGATAAAAAAGCCCTACATATAAAATTCTAATTTTATTTTTGTTAATTTAACAACAGTTAATCGAAAGATCAAACCAATAAATAGATCTAAATATCTCCGAAAACCCCTTTTTAGAGGTACTACTGTACCAACTCCCATAGGGCCTGACCTTAAACTGCAAGTGGGACATTAGCGAGAGCAAATGCCAGTGAAATATGAGAGGTTTATTCTAGTGGGCAAGGCGGTGGGAAATTCTGGGGCAGCGAGGTGCTAAAGCAATTACAAGCAGAGTGCGGAGATGAAGGCGCTTAGCAATGGGAATGGCAGTTAGGACAGATGGATGAATGCACAACGAAATTTCTTTAAAGCAATCAAATAAACTTAATACGAAGTGCAGTATGTTTGTGTGGCAATGAATCGTAAATCAAGTTAAATATTGTAGAGAATCTAAAAACATCTAGATTATAAATGGTCATTATTTACTAGATTTCGACTTTAGATAGTAAACTAAAAACTTACAGAAAGAAATTTCAGTTAAATTTTATTTGTTTCTTAAAATAAACCAAGATTGTATTTTCTTTTGTTCTTGGTCAAAAGGCCATTAAATGTAGATTTTAATTATAGTAAATTTTTCGTTGCCATTTTAAAGTGTTTGCCATTATTTTCAATGCCTTTAACTATTGTTTCCCCTTTAGTATTTCCCAGAATTTTTGATGTGAATTCACTTCTTCCACTTGATATATTTCAGCTTCTTGTTTATGTTTAGTGTTCACCATGTGAATATTGAGCCTGGTCGCCGGCTGTCCATCTGTCCTCCGGTTTCTCCATTCTGGCCAGCCACTTGAGACCGAAGCTGGCCAAAAGCTTGTTAGCCTGACAACTCAATTTCGTTTTCAATTTCTTAAGACCACGCTGTGATGGCGCAGCTAGCTCGGTTCGAAGAAGTTACCAGGCCAAATGTGGCCATAATTTGTCAAACAGCTAAAAAAAAAAGAGGAAAAATAGGAGACGCCAGGAGAAAAAAAACAGAGAGGAAATAAATATAAACGGTGATGAAGAAGGAGAAGCGCTTCTTCTCTTGCTTTTCGTGAGGGGCATCGCCTTGATGGGCACTAAATAAATTGTACAGAGCACCAGTAGTTCCAAGCTCCCGTTTTCCCGTTGGCAGTGCTGCCAAATCAGCTTTTTCTTGTTTATAAATGGTAATCACTGGAAACACCGATTTCATTACCCCTGAATGACCCATAAATATTTATATTTTCATATTCTCGGCCAGCACTCTTGCATGAGAGTCAATAAATACCTGTCTGCTTTTATGTTTTAGTTAGTCATTCAAATTTAAAGTTGTTTTTATTAGACAAGCTATACATAAAAGTATTCCTGATTTGGCTACTACTGAAAGGTTATAAACATTTTTTTAGAAACGATAAAAATAACGATCAAATAAGTTTGTTAAGTATAGATTTTTAAAAATAATTTCTAAGCGTTTTAAAGTACAGTTTATAATTTATATTTTGCTTTCCTTTAAAATATCGAAATTATCGAAAAATGTTTGTCAAAATATCGAAAATATCGATATTTCTTAAACTTTATAAAAGTGGCCTTCCAACTTGGATAATATGAATATGAATGATAAAATCAAACAGATATTATTTTTTCAATTCATCATCACTTTGTGCTACCTAAAAATAGCAGACATTGTCAGGATTAGGACCCAACCTCCTGACTTTTGTCGCTCCCAACCAGCCAGTGGCCACGTGGTCAGTGATGGCGGTCCATGTTGGCGCCAGGGATTCCATGCCGAGCACATACGCTTTTCGACTTTGAACATCCGATTGCCGAGGCATTACCACGGGTGCTCCTCCTCCCCCTCCTCTTGCGATCCCCTCCTGCGTTGTGTGTCCTCGAGCGCAAAAAATGCCAATGCGAGCGACATTCCCCAGCCATCACCCCCCACACTTTCCCCATTTTCCCCGGGAACCCAGCATTGTTGTTGTTCCAACTGTGGCGCTGTAATTTGTAGCGCGCAATGAAGCATTTCCCCTTGATTTTGCGGCATCTTTACTCGCCTCGTTAGTGGCCAACAAACGACAGCAGCCATGACAACACCAGGAGTCGGGAGTTGGGAGTTGGGGACCAGGAACCAGTAGCCGGGCTTCAGGTCCTGCGAGCTCCTCCGTATATGCCATGTCCTGATTTAATTGACAGGAACATAAATATTAGCGCATATCTTGACTCAGCTCGCCTTGGCTTTCCTTTGGCTTTGGCTTCAGCTTTAGCTTTAGCTTTGGTCGCGTATGTGACTGTTGCCAGGATTTTGTAGCCACTAAGGAAGTCTGGGAGGCAAGTGGGGAACTGTGGTGTCCTGATCTTGGTCTCGTTCTGGTCTGTCACCCGGATGAGCAGCTCGTTAAGCTGTCGGTCCAAGGAGCCAAGTATCCAAGTAGCCAGGGAGCAGAGTGCAGAGTGCCAGGACGAGGACATCCAGGGATAAGGACAACGGGACACGTTTATTGCACTCATCGTAACGCGCATTTTACACCCAGAGCTGGTATTTATTTGACTAGTGCTGACTCTGAGACACTCGCAGTAAATTTTCCCCCAAAAAGGTTGCTTGGAAATAAATATTTTGAGGGCCATAGGGATTTTATGAAATATTTAACATCAAATCGAAATAGTGCACCAACAACCCTTCTCGATTTTTATTTCTTTTGTGTAATTTAACAATACAAAATAACAGAAATTTGAAACTAGTTCACATTTTTTTTGTAGAAATTCTTTCATTGAAATAATATACATTTTATTGTTTAATTGGTTTACACTGAAATAATATTTTCTTTTATTGCGAAAAAAATATGCACTATCAGGGGAACGGAAATATGTAACTTCCTGCTCATTATGACATTAAGGGCATACCATTCAAAGTGTATCACTCATACGCACTGTTGCCTTCAATCAAAAAGTAGATTTTAAGCACACATTTGTTTTATTGCTTTACCTCTTTAACCAAGTAATCTAACGACATTGATAGTTTAACAATAATTGAAATGGGTAATCGATTTTTTGATTAAATTCTAACTTGTACGTGTCGTATGAGTAATTTTTAAGTAAGAATATATTTTTCTTTCTTTATGAAAAATATTTAAAATTTTTTATAAGCAACTTTACAGTTAAATGTTATAACCAATAATAAAAAGACAGCAACTGTTTTTTAAAATTGATTTTTTAAGCTCTAGTAATTAATCTTTTTTTAAAATATAATTCGTAAAGCATCGAAACGAATTTTTAATAAACGGTCCTTTGTGGCACAACTTAACTCCCCTGATATTTTATCTGAATGCATCTTTAAAAGAACGTAACTGTCACGTTGTTAAATAAATTAAGCTATACCAATGCAATGAACTTTGCTTTTACCACCCAGCGTAAAGTCTTTTTAAGACCATCAAAATGTCTTTGAGTCATCAATTGAGTACGTCAATTAGTCGATCGACGTGGCAGCAGCAGCAGAGCTTCACTGAGGATGGGAATTTGCTTGTTCTATGAGAATGGCGATGGTTAGATGGTGGATGGTAGATGGTTCCGCTCCGTGGCTGCTCACTTCGTGCTTTGTGTTTGCTCCTGCCAATGGTTGTGCGTAATTTATGCGAGTTTATTTATTGATGCCCGGCACTGCATTGTTTCCCCAAAAAGCCGGCTAAGTGCAGCCGGCGGCAGGCGAAAGTCCGTTGGCATGTCGGTCGGTCGCTTGGTCGACCATGGCCTTTTTCCCCAAATAGAAAAGCCATAAATCTGCAATGTCGGAGCATTTAAAATGAATAAAAAGTCAATGTGCCGAGCTATTAACTGCCGATCCATGGGGTAGTTTGAGGGGGGTATTTTCGGGGGAATGAGACAGGGGGATTGCCTGGCCAACCGGTCAACCGGTTGCCATTTTCGACAATACATTTGTATTTGCATGCGGCAATGTGTCCTCCGGACGTACTGAACTGGGGCAGCCCAGATGGGCCTGGGGTTGGAATCGTCGGAATCATCGGACAGGAGCGGTTAGTTTGGATGGTCGGGGTATTTGGGGGTTCGGGGGATCGGAGGATCCCTCGCACACACACCTTCCGGTACACAGAGCAGCAAAACAGTGAACAGTGAGCAGTGAACCCAGGATTCAGAATTCAGGATGGTGCATCCACTCCCGGGGGAAGAGGGGTGCCCCCTGTACAGTGCCTAAAATTATTTATTTTCAAAAGAAAAGTGTAATTGATTTATGGAAATGACTGCACAACCTATAAAGTCTAGTTAAGAGGTTCGCAAAAAATATGGGCGATAAAAAGAAAATTTAAAACAACGTGTAATTTAGTGTTATTTATATTTTTATAAGCAATACCGTTTTTTTAATACAAATTGGTTGGTAAGGTACAAAATCGGGGATTTTTAATAGGAATATTTATTTACCACTTTAGCTTTTTTCATGTACCATAAAAAAAAATGACTGAAAATTAAAGGAATTTAAACCAAAATTTATATTTTACAAAAATGTTAGTGAGTGCGGCTTAAAAAATAAATTGTTACATAAAAATAAAATAAAATCTGACACCAAAAACCATTACACATTTTTTGGGGAAGCATAAAAAAAATGTTTTGGTAAACTGGGAAATGGAAATAATATGCTGATAAGTAAAGGAATTTAAGGTATAAATGTCGTTCGATAAAATAAAAATAGATATAGTTCTTATTTAATTTTTTATTTTTTCGGGAAGTAATAAAGGATTGAATTCTTTTGATATACTATATATATTTTTTTTTATATCGTGGAACTTGTTTATAAAAACCATTTTGTATTTTATCAATATAGAGAATGTCACTTGCCAAAATTAAAAGCACTGTAATCTCTGGCATCCCTGGCATGAAAATGTTGCAACAACTGACAATTCCCGCTTTAAATTGCATTTAAAGCTTGTCGCTTCCTGCAGTTTAATTCCATTTGGGGACTTTCTTCTCCATTCGGCTCCACTGTCCGTGACCTGGGTGTTTGTGTGTTTGTTTGACTGTGCGGTGCGACTGTTGTTGGTGCATTAAAATGCTGAAATAAAATGCCAAACAATGCAAAAGCGTTGCCCGCATACCGTTGGAAAAACCCCCCAGTTTGCTCCCTATTTCCCAGCAAGAAAAACACACCCAAAAAAAAAAAAGGAAAAGAGAAACATTTTGGGTGCGTTTTTGTTTTCATACTGTGGCCAGACAGGGGTTTGTTTTTTTGGGGCATGGGGCAGTGGCTCCACACAACCGGCACAAAATAGCTTGCAACATTTTCAAGCATATTAAATATTTGTGATAACGTTTCCAATTTCTCTCTCTCGCAGAATGGGCGTCCAGCTGCAGCATGGCCATTCGCATGGTCTGGGCGGGGGCGGTGGGCATGGTCACAGCCATGGTGGCTCCAAGAAGCCGAAGAAGCAACCCATCGCAGCCATCCCCTCCCACGCACATGCCACCTCCACCCCTTGCTCCGAATCGCCCTCGCAGCGGATTGAAGGAGGCGTGGCCTTTGCCCCCGAGGATGCCGAGTTGCCAGGCAGCGGACTTCCGACGTTCTCTTACCAGAATGCTAAGCTAGTGGATCCCGATCTGGAAATCGCCGCCGTTCTGGCGGAGACGGCACCCGGTTCGCATCATCATGGCGGACAGGTGGGTCGCGAAGCTGTGAATATGAATGTGAGGGCCGCCCTCATCCACGTGATTGGCGATGTCATCCAGAGCGTTGGAGTTTTCGTCGCCGCCGGTGTGATCTACTTCTGGCCAGAGTATTCCATTGTGGATCCCATCTGCACATTCGTGTTCTCCATCATCGTCCTCTTCACCACTTTCACGATCATGAAGGATGCCCTGCTGGTGAGTTGGAGATTGGGTATTAAAAAGGGTTTTGAAATCCAAGTAGACCTTATGAGTATATATCATTGATTCTTGTTTATCAATTTGACATATTTATTTAGATAAACCGTTGAAAAGTTTTATTGCAGATTAAAAACTAACTAACATTTTTTTTAAGATTTGTTCAAAAAAATTAACTGAAAAACTCTTAAAAATTATTACTTTTTAGGTGTTGTGTGCAGCGTTTTAAATGAAATGTTTCATTTGTTAGATAAAAGGCTGTTTAAAATTCTTATTTAGGATTTTAAAAGAAATAAGTATAAAACTATTTAGAAAAAATTAAAAAATAGTCTGTTGCTGCGCTATAACTCAGATTTAAAAGCCTTAAATAATTTCCTTACATTTTATTAGATAGTTACCTTTGGAATAATATGTTTACTTGGCTTTCACATTTATTTTATAAATTAACATAAACATAAACAAGGCAAATATAAAATACTCAGCATATTATGAGATCATCCTTTTAAGAAACCTTCACTAAAGATTGCATGTGATTGCATTTATTTTATTTGAGCCCACTACTTAGCACTGATTTATCGGATTGCTTGTAAACACTTTTTCCCGTTTTTCCCCTCATTTTCCCCCACAGGTGCTGATGGAGGGGACCCCGAACTACATGCACTACGCGGAGGTGCTGCAGATTTTCCAAGGCATCGAGGGCGTTGAGCGGGTGCACAATTTGCGCATCTGGGCGCTGAGCATTAATAAAGTGGCGCTATCAGCCCATTTGGCCATTGGTAAGTAGCTGCCCCCGGCGCTCGGCTCTCGGCCTTTTTGCCCTGGCCGAAACAGAGTCGAAACTGGCCAAAACCAGAGACCAGACCAAACCGAATCAGACCAGAAAGGTCGCTGGGTGGCCTTTTGCCCTGATGCATGTGTTTGTCCGAATGGGTGGATGGGTGATTGGGTGGGTGGTATCGCGCTTTTGGGCATGGAGGGTAATTATCCCAATGGATTTGTTGTTGTTTTAAGCTGCTCCCCCTGCTGCCGTTTCCCCTCGGCACTGTTTCATGGCCATGTCCATGGGCAGACAGTGAGCAATTAGCTTAATTATTTTTGAAATGGCTTTTTAAGCGTGGACAATTTTGATAGAGCGAGGGAATGGAGTTGGTAAACCCTCTGCCCTCTTTTATTATCCCTCTGATACCAAATCGCCTAATCGTTTAACCTTCTTTTCACCCCCCAAAAAAATAGCTGAAAATGCGAATCCCAAGATGATCCTGGATGCAGCCACCTCGGCGGTTCACTTGCGCTACAACTTCTTCGAGACGACCATCCAAATCGAGGACTATACGGCCCAAATGGAGAGCTGCCAGCAGTGCAATGTGCCCGAGAAGTAGACTTCCTGTTAGAAAAACATACAAAAACCCATAATATGATAATCTAATTCGATGTATATTCAATATTTATTTTGCTGTACGACCAATCCGTATATAGAGTAAACACAAATCAACTACAAAATATATACATTTACGCGCGACTGTTTATCAGTTTATCACCTGAACACCTGAGCGTCGATTAATATATGCTGCCTTACATGTGCCCATCACAAAGTGTCAAACACCTGGAGTTGTTTAACATATTCCGCTTTACATATAATGTAGGGGTGTACCCATCATAACGCTCACTTCATCATAAGCTGGCTGACAGAGTGCGGTGCCCGCTGGTAATAAATATCACTCACATTATAATCTGAATAATGCGGAATACACCACATTATTCAGACGCTTCTTAAATAAGAGAGAACGCTATATTCGAGTTTAATTTTTGCTCATAACTTTTTAATGGATTGTCCGATTTGAAAATTTTCTTCTACATTTCGATAGGTATTAATAAACAGAGCAAAATAGAATTTATACTGTTATATAACCTAAAAAAAATGTGGGAGCCAGGCTTTTTTAAAAATGTTTACCCTTTTATTTTACGAGTAACGGGTATAAAACGGGCTACATCTATAAAGACATAAATGCACTCTAGAATCGATAAAAGAAATTCGGTTTCAGATTAAAGCGATTGCCAGCGTAGACCAATCAACTCCATCGCAATTCATTGGTTACAATTTTTAATCGAATCCCCCAATCGCACTCCCCTTGGACCGCATTTTTTTTCTAACTCCTGGATTTCCTGTGGTGTTTTGGAGCGAAAGGAGTTCCCAGTATGTAAACCTATTTTCCATCAAATTCGATGCATGAGCGATATGCAAACACGCATAAAAGTTATTAAGCTGCCGATGGCTGCCACCGGCGACGTTGCATCCAAAAATGGCCACCGCGCCCTCGGAAAAACTAATGCCAATTTATGGGGGGCGGTTAGGGAAGGGGAGTGGATTCCCTAGCCATCACACCTGGCGGCTTACCTGGCCCACAGCCCACAGCCCACAGCCCACTGGTCGCCGGGCAATGCCATTATGCATAATTTGGATGTGTGGCCATTGCGTAAGCGACATTGCGTGTGGAACGAAGCGAGGCTTTCAAATTATGTCTAAATTGTTGACCGGCAAACTGGGAGATAGGGAGGTTGGGAGTTTGTAGAGTGTCGGGAGTGTCTAACAGTTGGCGCCTAATCGCCGCCAATTTGTTGACAGATTTGCATGTGAAAGATCCAGCCGTCACCTTGAACAAATGCCGCAAATTTCCGTTGAAGCGAAGACCAAAGGCGGAGGGAGTCCGAGTCCCCAAGTGCCTGTAATCCCCCCAAAGTGGCCACGAAAACCCACTCCGATATTCCTGCTCCTTGCGCCTGCGCAGCTTCGATTGTACTAAAAATAAAAGTGGTCTAAAAAGAGCAGCAGCCTCCTCAGAAAAACCGAAGGAGAGCAGTTTGTTTTCCACGTTGCGGCTTTTTCTTTGGCGGCCACTTGACCTGCACTTGGAATTGAATGCACTTCTCCGTCCACCGCCAGAAAGGAACTTTAAGAGATTAACATGCAGCGCCCACATCCATAATAAATACGGGCTGTTTGAAAACCGAGTGATTAAATGTGAAGTCAGCAGGATAAATACAGGAAATCATCTTGATAAATTCAAGTAAAGGCAAAGGCTTGAATGGGACGTACATCATAAGATGATTGCAGGAAGTTGCATGTCGAGTAAAATGTAATGATTTAGAAAGATAAATATCCAAGCTCTATTTATGTTTTATGTTAAACTCAGGACTACTTCTAAAAATTTGTTTCCCACAAATAATAATAAAGATTTTACCTTTTTATAAATTTTCTAAAAAAGATATAAATAAATAAAATATAATGGTATTTAATATTACCTTCTAAATAAAAAATAAAATTATCTAATAAAATCTAAAATTTTTCCTTTTTTGTTATTTTGATAATATTTATGGAATTTTTAAGTATTTATTCTAATGGGTATATTTATCCTGAGACAAAACTTTTAAACAACCTTAACAATTATACTTACATTTAGTTTTCATTTGTGTAATAATAATAAAAGAATAGATTGTAACAAAAAGAATAAAATTTCTTGATGAAGGCTGTCCAAGTTTCTGGCTGGAGACGTAATTGGATAAGCTTTTGATTAAAATATAACATTTCTGGGGAAACTTAAAGCTTTTGATAATTGTTTGTCCCCCGGACTAAGCCACCCAACTTTCTGTCACGATTTCACTTCAACATTTCGCGAAGAAAATTTCAGCAAGAAAATTCCGCGTGCAATTTGGTGGGGTTTTTGGGGGGTTTTCGGGGGTTAAGAGGGTGGGGGGCTAAGACGATGACGTCCAACGTCGTTGCTCATTAAAAACTTTTAGCCAGTTCGAACTTTTCGAGCCGGGAGATAAACAACAAGCAAGACAAGGCGAGGAGTGTAAATTATAAATGCACAAAGTAAACGAAAAGGGCGCGAAATTTTTATTTTTATTTTTGGAAACATGAAACTGGTGGATTGCGAAAACTTGGTGAAAAAATATATATTTAAATTTATTTTATTACGTCTTGCAACTATTAAATGGAAAGGGGACTGACTTTAAGCCGGCATAGATTGGCCGAATGCCCGGCGGAAAACAAGTGCATTGCATATTTTAATCAAGGGAAAATTGTATTGAAAAATATTGTTAACAATAACAGGCATCGGTGGCGGCTGCATTTTTAAATGACCCCGCCGAGCAGGCAACATGTGACAGCCGTGGCGGCGACAATTAAAACTTTTTACTAGCATTCAAATTTTTCAATATAAACCGACCGTCGTTCTCCGCGGCCATCGTGGATATCGTGGCCCGTAACTGACCACCACCGGCCAGGAACACAACGGGGCAAAACAAAAAGAGCCATAATAAAAAAATCAGCTGAAATAAAAGCACGGGGAAAGCAAAAGCCGCGACATTTCCATGCTGTGTAAAAGGGAGGTGAGCCCCCGGAAAATGGGGACTGAGTGCGGTGGCATGTGAGGCTCCACAGATCGTTGAAAGCGACATAAAAAAAGAGAACGAGGAAGTAGGCTCACTTTTGAAAGGCAGAGTTTTAATACCCTTATGATAAAAGTAGCCATTCTTATTTGGTCGTACATGGTTCCGATTCTTGAAAATTAACTCTTGAAATAAACGTTACGGCATCCATACCAAATAATATTATAACGATCCTTGCTTAATTGGCATAATAGTCGTTTAATATTTTTTAATTTTTTTAATTTTTAATAATTCTATATTTTTAATTTTTCTATATTTTCAATAGTTTTGTATTTTTAATATTTCTGTATGTTCAATATTGCCAAATTTTTAATATTTCTATATTTTTAATACTTCCATAATTTTTTAATTTTTAATATATATGTATTTTTTATAAATATTTTAATATTTTCCATATAAAACAATATTTAACAATACTAGTGCGAAATCAGAGTTAAGCTGGAAACTTTAATATGTATAGAATTGGAAACAAATTAGGAAGCTGTAGTTTTACAATTTCAAAATTATAAAGTGAGTTTAATATTTATAGATAACTATTTTAGTAGATACACATCAGTTCAGAAGACCGTTAGGGAAAATATATAATCTTTATTTTTACTTGGACGACAACAAGCGCATTAAAAACAGCTTGGTTAAGTAATAAATAAACTGACTGGCGTGACATTTATAGGGTCACAGATGTCTGCATCGCTGCATTACAAAATATCTGAATGAAAGTGCAATATCCCCCGCAAAGGGTATAGAAGTACGTGCCTGTTCATGAGGAAAGTGCAGAAGGTCCGCTGCAGGGCATCTGCCAGTGCAATATTTGTCTATGAAAGGAAGCCGCGACAACTGGATATAAAGGGAAGGGGACTGAAGGGGCTTGTAGGGGATTCGGGGGAGTTGGTGGCTGGCACTGCCAATATAATTCCACCTCGGATGCATTGCAGTTGCTTAATAAAGCTTTAAAAAAAATGCCATAGCCCCCCTTTCGGTCCATAGCTGAACAAGCGAAATATTTAATTGATGGATGGGGCAGAATACTGTATTTTTTTAATGCCAACCAAAATATGCGTATTTTACAGTGAAGAAGTGAAAAGATCAGAGGGTCCACAGTTTTTACTTAAATGAAAAATGCGAGTGTGAAAGCTGAATAACTTTTTTTAAAGATAATATTTTTGTTTTTCATCCATATTTAAGAGTATATTTTAAAGAAAATTAAATTTTTTACCACTCTTATATAAATAACAATAATGTTTTATCAAAATTATTTTATAAAAAAATTTAAAAATGTAAATAATGGTTTTAAATTAAATATATTTTAATATTTTTAAAATAAATTAATTATTCTAAAGGAAGTTTAAAATATTGTTAAAACTTTTTAGCCATTAAACCTTATTGCAGTCAATATAAAATTTTTTAAAAATCTATGTAATGGTTTTTAATATTACTAATTTTATTTTTTAGAAAATATTGAAATATTTTGAAATTTGAATATTTTGTAATAGAGCAAAAACTGTTTATTCTCTTTAAATCAAAGCAAGTCAGACTTTTAGAATCAACAAAAATGTGTAGCATTTCCAGCAGACACTTTTTGTCAGCAACCAAGCAGGGATACAATGTGTCACAAAGTTTTCCGCTAACTTCCAACTTCCGGCTGAACTCATCTAGGATTTGGCCGCATTAAAGTCTAGAATTCTGTTATGTGTTCTTACTTTTTTTTTGGACGCAAGAATAGCCATGAATTATGTAGAATTTAATCCAGAAGCTTTTGCGAAACGGATCGATGTTGTTGGACTGGGTTGGTCCGCCACTGGGGCCTTGAAGATGCACTGGCATTCTTTCTCTTTTTTCCAGCCAGCCAGCCCATTCCGGGGAGAATGAAAAACAGAAGCTACAACAAATTGTTGCCAAGTTTTCTAGCGCAGAGCCTAGAAAATGGCACAATAAACACTGAACGCATATAAAGGACATTCGAGTTCATTTGTTCGGCGCGTTTTGCGGCGTCCCATCGTTAAAAAGGGGGCATGGTTAAAAAGGGGGCGGGGGACCAGTGGGCGTGTCGCTCTGGGTCGACTGGTGCATTGTAGTCGCCATTGTTGTTTTTGT